GGCTTCCAGCAGACCATAACAACCGGTAGTTACACTTATCTGGCTTCCAGCAGACCATAACAACCGGTAGTTACACTTATCTGGCTTCCAGCAGACCATAACAACCGGTAGTCACACTTATCTGGCTTCCAGCAGACCATAACAACCGGTAGTTACACTTATCAGGCTTCCAGCAGTCTGGTCTACACAATGCCATTCTAGTGTTCTCTGTCATTAATGTTATTTAACAAAAAGGTGATCAATTGTGTAGTTATGTAAATACATATGGTACACAACAAAGATGTACCAAATCAAGATAAAGCACTGTAAAAAATCCAGTCTCCCATCTCTAGACAAGCTTTGGGATTGAAAATGAACAAAGGGTCATAACTTCTATATAGTGGAGAACAAAACCAAATTTCACTATGCCACACTGTGCCACCCTATTATATACTAGAAAATAAAATTTGGCAATTGTAGGTGACAGAGTATATGAGATTTGTCCCAGACAGTGTGACTTACTGACTGACTTGGGGAGTTCAAACCTCCAGTAGTACGGCTGGGGACACACAACTGCTTATTCTACCATCATTTCAGCTGAACAGGCATAAGTGGATTTAATTAAATGCAATGAATACAAAAATTGAAAATACTTTTGTTTGCCACAGCAAAATTGATATCTTTCAGTAAGTGAAATCTGGCACTATTGCTAGATACATCACTTCCAAAAATGCAATAAATACTCAAGTAAAATGGCTTTTCTAATTTATATATCATAATGAAAACTAAAACATGACTTTTCATGGCATGCATTGGAATAAAATGGATTCTAAACAAAGTTCCTGAGAAATCAAGATCAACTATTTATGCAAAACATCCACAAATAATCTATTTGTTGAAAAAAAATAATAATAATACTTAACACTACCCAGTATCTTAGTTTTCACATAACTGTATCACAGACCTATGTCTAGAACATCATCTCCAAGTTGTCGCCAAGTGACTTTCTATTTTAACAAGTTGTTACATCAGCTAGTCAAGTAAGTTAAGCTCTTTGTCCTGTTTTGTTTTTGCCGGCCATTGTTTGAGGATTTGGAAGTTTGTGAATTGCCTGATCCACGTCTTTCATCTAACCTCCTCGGACCGTCACTATCCCTCAACATTGGCAATTGTGCTGGCTTCACCATTCGACGTAAATCACTATTTTCATTTTTAGCTTCATTTAGTTCTCTCTTCAGATGAACAAAATCTTTAAAAGACTTACTCGCACTATCAATGGAATCTTTTTTACGTCGATACATTAGTTCTGCCAATAGTTTCTGGTACTCTGTACGATATCGCTCTTTATCTAATTCTAAAATCACATAGGATTCTTTCAAAGACATCATTTCTGCTTGAAGTTCTTTCAACATTTTTTCATAATTACGTTCTCTTTCCAGAGCACTGCCTCGCTCTGCCTGCATCTGAGTGACCTTGACCTTCAGGTTCTCTATCAAGGTCAACTTGTCCTTATCCTCTTCCTGTTGTGCTAGCTCCTTTTCTAGTTTACTGAGACGAAAATTGAGTTCCATGTTTTTCTGATTTGCCTCTCGTACCTCCTGTAAAAGGTGGTTGTTTCTGGCTTTCATCATGTCTACCTCCTCGAAGTCGACAGGCTGGCGCTTCTGGTGTCTTAAACTCTCTAGTTCCCGCTTTAGTTCTTCATTTTCATCTTTATATGACTTCAGCATTTTCTGTTCTTCCTCTATTCTACTCTGTAAGGCCTGCAATAGATAGGACAATATTACAGACTGAAAATCATATCTGTTTTGTTTTCTTTAGATTGACCCTGCAGTATTGTTTATTTTAGTTGATCAGAAATAAGGAAATCAAAACAGTGATATAATTCCGCTGTGTATCACCGACTGTTTACCGTAGCTAAAATTCCTACCAGTGAATTGAGCCAACAAAGCTCAAAGCACATATTTTAAGTTCTTTTAACTCATCACCCCTGAAGACACATTTGAACTCTTCCAATTCAAAGGTTGGAAAAGTTCATTATGAAATTTCAGGGGTGAATGAGTTAAAGATTGATAAAAAATGTATATTAGTGTAATCATTATTACGGTAATGTAAACCTGAGGAAATGTGTATTTGTCCTATCATAATCAACCTAATAACACCCAATCCCATATAAACACCTATATTCTTCACAATATTTTTTTGTCTCAGAAAAAAGTGTCTATTATTGCTTATTTTTGAGAATTTTGAAAGGTTATGCAATCATTCCTAACACCTGATTTTTTTTAGTGTCATTACTGTGGCAGCTTGAATTCTGTATCCTTTTACAATAAATATTCTTAAATGTGCCCACTACAGGCCAGTACGCTAGTTAACTGGATTAGCCATATCTTTTCCATACGAAAAGATTAAACTCAGCTTGCTGGGAACAGAAAACCCGGACTGTGTGGAGAGATTGTTACCTGTGTACAGACCTGTGCTATATTTACACACCTTAATGTAATGATGTAAGTTTGACAGTAATTAGCAAAACAAATTCTGTCCAGAAACTTCAAAAGGAAACATATAATGGGTAAAGAGTTGGTCTAATGATATTAGCAGAAAAGCAAAATCTGTAGTTGTGTGAAGCTAGGTAAACACTTTGAGACTATTGGTCAACAAGAACATTAAACTGACCGTTTGACCTTCCAGTCGTAGGAGTAACTGTTGGTTAGTTCTCTCCAGTCTGTCCACTTGGTCCCTGAGCTGTATGTCAATAGAAACCAGGAGTTAGTGTGGACCTATTACATAACCCATTCACAACTGTTAGCCATTACATAGGTGTTCACCAGTTAAATGTGCCTAGGACAAACACATATAGTAAAACATGGTCGTTTACATCATGTTCACAATTAAAAATGTTCTGAAACAAAATACTGCTATGCTTTTACAAATCAGGAAATGTGTGAAAATAATAAGTCAAATGAAATTTGCACAAGAATATAAGTTGTATGTTATTGTCCACTCCTTTTTGCTGAAACATAACTTTAATGGCTACACATACATGTGTATAGATTTCCCACAAGACAGTTGTAGCAATGTGTAGTTGGTAGTTAAAGGGGTATAACTACTAATGTCTAATAACATTTCCAGCATAGTCCCAGATTTTTTTTTTCCTAATAATAAATATTCTTAAAAGCAACTGATCTATAATCATAACAATTTTAATTTATTTTGATTTTATTGAACACTTTATATCATTGTCATTATTATTACTGTATACTGGGAATTTTTTCCACAACAAACTTTCGCGTTTTTCGTCCTTCCCTATGAGGGCAGATTTATCTTGACAGCAAATTTTACTACACAACAGACAATATATAGTAATTACATGAGGAAAGGGGAACCTACCACTGGGCGAAAATGGATTTTATCGACAAAGGGTGAAATAAACACTCAGCGAACATGGATTTTATCGACAAAGGGTGAAATAAACACTCGGCGAACATGTATCTTATCGGCAAAGGGCGATATTTGACTGAGGAATGTTTCCCGGTATACAGTATTATGACTGTGAATTAAGGTATAACAATTATCAGTTTGATCATTTCAAATGTTCCACAAATAAAAATGTAATAAAAGGACAAACCTGTATATTAAGGTTATCACTAACATACCTCAGTTTTCTCTATTGTCAATTTTCTCCCTCCTTCTACTTTTTCTTCAAGAACTTTCATCATCTAATCAAAAAAGAAATCAAATATGAACATTCATAAATATGCAAATCTAAATGTTACTAATTGCTTACCATTAATATTGAACAGTTTTTGCAAAAAACTCTTTTCAATAATTCTCAATCCAAAAAAAAGTATTACAAAACATAGAATACTGCAGGGCGGAACAATACATGCCCAACTCCTGCCAAACTGACCTACTAAAATACCTCTGATGCATTATACTATCTAAATGTATGAAAATATAGAAATGTAAGGAGAAGAAGAAACAACATCTGTACTGTATTACTCAGTCAAGTTGAGAACTATTCCTGTGATGTGGTGAAAAGAAAAACATACCATACTTGATTAACTTCAGCTTAAGGAATAAATATAGTTCATATACCTTTTACAACCTTTAAATGATGATTTTTATAGGAATTGCTTCCCTTTGTCCATATTTCAAACCATGAAAATAGAAATTGAAATTGCCCCCTTTGCCACTAATCAATTAATCTTGCACCATTAAAAACAAAAACATTTCTGAATTCTTATCAATTACTGACAAATTTTGCTATTTGACAAAGTGTAAATATTGACCAAGTCTCAGAATCCTGTCGTTTCTTACCCAAGTTATTGTGCAGAAACTGTAAACCAATCAGAGCACATGTACAGTATGCTAATTACTTATGCATAAATTTTGCTCGACTATGAACTCAGCTTCAGTTCTTGTATATTGTACTTGCTTACTAAAGTTCATAGATTTTTTTTCTATATTTAAGCAATAAGTTATCTTGTGGAAACTAAAGTGTTGAAAGTCAGACAGATTATGCTAATTAACAATACACAGATTCACTCAACATATATGGCCTCAGTTTTTGTATATTGTACATGCTTACCAAGTTTCATCAACATTGAATGATATTTTAGAAAGTTATCCTGCGGAAACCAGCGAACAGACAGACGGATACTCCCCATACCATAATGTATCATGTATTATTTATATTTATCTAACTCAAGTATAGGGTAATTTTTAAATTACATAAAGACACAGGATTTACAGGGTGTCTTATGATTTGAAAAACTAATTCATGAGAGTAAATTCTCTCCCAATGTTCAGATGTTATATCTAGAGGACTGTGTTTCTTTTGGGTATACATTGTTCCTGTTTCCAATAGGGGAAACAATTGCCATGAGCTATAAAGTCCCAATAGAAGATCACATCGCAAAACATTGGACATTATTATTAAAAGATTGACCAATGAAATAACGTCCAGTGTGTTACCCACTACAATCTCCTAGCAGGTTTATCCAATGAGTCAGGAGTGAGGAAACCTATAGTGGTTGTGGGAGAAATCATATTACAGTGTTTTTATCCTACTAATACTCTGGCCCCTAGTATACTTCAGGACCAAACAACCCACCTTACTAATAGTCTGGCCCCTACTATACTTCAGGACTAAACAACCTATCCTACTAATAGTCTGACCCCTACTATACTTTAGGAACAAACAACTCATCCTACTAATAGTCTGGCCCCTAGTATACTTCAGGAGCAAACAACCCATCCTACTAATAGTCTGGCCCCTAGTATACTTCAGGACCAAACACCCATCCTACTAATAATCTGGCCCCTACTATACTTCAGGACCAAATAACCCATCCTACTAATAGTCTGGCCCCTAGTATATTTCATGACCAAACAACCCATCCTACTAATAGTCTAGCCCCTAGTATACTTCAGGACCAAACAACCCATCCTAGTAATAGTCTAGCCTCTAGTATACTTCAGGACCAAACAACCCATCTTACTAATAGTATGGCCCCTACTATACTTCAGGACCAAACAACCCATCCAATTAATATACTGGCCCCTAGTGTACTTCATGACCAAACAACTCATCCTACTAATAGTCTGGCCCCTACTATCCTTCAGGACTAAACAACCCATCCTACTAATAGTCTGGCCCATTGTATACTTCAGGACCAAACAACCCATCCAATTAATATACTGGCCCCTAGTGTACTTCATGACCAAACAACTCATCCTACTAATAGTCTGGCCCCTAGTATATTTCATGACCAAACAACCCATCCTCCTAATAGTCTGGCCCATTGTATACTTCAGGACCAAACAACCCATCCAACTAATACTCTGGCCCCTAGTAAACTTAAGGACCAAACAACCCATCCAACTAATAGTCTGGCCTCTAGTATACTTCAGGACCAAACAACACCATCCTACTAATAATCTGGCCCCTAATATACTTCAGGACCAAACAACCCATCCTAGTAATAGTCTAGCCTCTAGTATACTTCAGGACCAAACAACCCATCCTAGTAATAGTCTAGCCTCTAGTATACTTCAGGACCAAACAACCCATCTTACTAATACTCTGGCCCCTACTATACTTCAGGACCAAACAACCTATATAATCTGGCCCCTAGTATACTTCAGGACCAAATAACCCATCCAACTAATAGTCTTGCCCCTACTATACTTCAGTACCAAACAACCCATCATACTAATAATCTGGCCCCTAGTATACTTCAGCACCAAACAACCCATCCTACTAATAGTCTGGCCCCTACTATACTTCACGACTAAACAACCCATCCTACTAATAGTCTGGCCCCTAGTATACTTCAGGAGCAAACAACCCATCCTACTAATAGTCTGGCCCCTAGTATACTTCAGGACCAAATAACCCATCCAACTAATAGTTTGGCCCCTACTATACTTCAGGACCAAACAACCTATCCTACTAATAGTCTGCCCCCTACTATACTTTAGGACCAAACAACTCATCCTACTAATAGTCTGGCCCCTAGTATATTTCATGACCAAACAACCCATCCTCCTAATAGTCTGGCCCATTGTATACTTCAGGACCAAACAACCCATCCAATTAATATACTGGCCCCTAGTGTACTTCATGACCAAACAACTCATCCTACTAATAGTCTGGCCCCTACTATCCTTCAGGACTAAACAACCCATCCTACTAATAGTCTGGCCCATTGTATACTTCAGGACCAAACAACCCATCCAACTAATACTCTGGCCCCTAGTATACTTCAGGCCCAAACAACCCATCTTACTAATAGTCTGGCCCCTACTATACTTCACGACTAAACAACCCATCCTACTAATAGTCTGGCCCATTGTATACTTCAGGACCAAACAACCCATCCAACTAATAGTCTGGCCCCTACTATACTTCAAGACCAAACAACACCATCCTACTAATAATCTGGCCCCTACTATACTTCAAGACCAAACAACACCATCCTACTAATAATCTGGCCCCTACTATACTTCAGGACCAAACAACCCATCCTACTAATTATCTGGCCCCTACTATACTTCAGGACCAAACAACCTATCCTACTAATAGTCTGACCCCTACTATACTTTAGGACCAAACAACTCATCCTACTAATAGTCTGGCCCCTACTATACTTCAGGACTAAACAACCCATCCTACTAATAGTCTGGCCCCTAGTATACTTCAGGACCAAACAACCCATCCTACTAATAGTCTGGCCCCTAGTATACTTCAGGACCAAACAACCCATCCTACTAATAGTCTGGCCCCTAGTATACTTCAGGACCAAACAACCCATCCTACTAATAGTCTGGCCCCTAGTATACTTCAGGACCAAACAACCCATCCTACTAATAGTCTGGCCCCTAGTATACTTCAGGACCAAACAACCCATCCTACTAATAGTCTGGCCCCTAGTATACTTCAGGACCAAACAACCATTCCTACTAATAGTCTGGCCCCTAGTATACTTCAGGACCAAACACCCATCCTACTAATAATCTGGCCCCTACTATACTTCATGACCAAACAACACCATCCTACTAATAATCTGGCCCCTAGTATACTTCAGGACCAAACAACCCATCCTACTAATAGTCTGGCCCCTACTATACTTCAGGACCAAACAACCCATCCTACTAATAGTCTGGCCCCTAGTATACTTCAGGACCAAACAACCCATCCTACTAATAGTCTGGCCCCTACTATACTTCAGGACCAAACAACCCATCCTACTAATAGTCTGGCCCCTAGTATACTTCAGGACCAAACAACCCATCCTACTAATAGTCTGGCCCCTACTATACTTCAGGACCAAACAACCCATCCTACTAATAGTCTGGCCCCTAGTATACTTCAGGACCAAACAACCCATCCTACTAATAGTCTGGCCCCTACTATACTTCAGGACCAAACAACCCATCCTACTAATAGTCTGGCCCCTAGTATACTTCAGGACCAAACAACCCATCCTACTAATAGTCTGGCCCCTACTATACTTCAGGACCAAACAACCTATCCTACTAATAGTCTGGCCCCTTCTATACTTTAGGACCAAACAACTCATCCTACTAATAGACTGGCCCCTACTATACTTCAGGACCAACCAACCTATCCTACTAATAGACTGGCCCCTACTATACTTCAGGACCAAACACCCCATCCTACTAATAATCTGGCCCCTACTATACTTCAGGACTAAACAACCTATCCTACTAATAGTCTGGTCCCTACTATACTTCATGCCCAAACAACACCATCCTACTAATAATCTGTCCTACTAATAGTCTGGCCCCTAGTATACTTCATGACCAAACAACCCCATCCTACTAATAGTCTGGTCCCTACTATACTTCATGACCAAACAACACCATCCTACTAATAGTCTGGCCCCTACTATACTTCAGGACTTTGTAGGATTTCAACATTTATTTTTTTAAATCACAACAATCAGGTCAGGCATTTGTAGGATCAAAATATTGATATAAAAAACTCTCAACATTCTGTTTAGGTCTTTGGAAAATTATAACAATATTTTATAAATCACAACAAACAGGTTAGGTCTTTGTAGGGTTAAGTAAAATATATAACACTGATGTATAAATCATATTAATCGGTTATAGGTAAACAAAATAAGTAAATTAAGGAGTTTACTGTTACACGACAACCAACATGGACAGACAAGCCTACCTCAGGATCCTTCTCTGTTAGACTCTGTGGACAACATATGTCAAAACAATAACCTCTTACAGCGTTAATGAAAGGTTCTCATCAAATAGATTATACAATATCATTCAACAAAATTCAATGAAAAAAATTACTTATCTGATCATTATTTTAGACAACCCAGATTGTTTAAAACGTATGGTAGTGGAACCATATTCCTGTATAATGTATCTGATATATAAACAGTATGGTAGTGGTACCATATTCCTGTATAATGTATCTGATATATAAACAGTATGGAAGTGATACCATATTCCTGTATAATGTATCTGATATATAAACAGTAGGGTAGTGGTACCATATTCCTGTATAATGTATCTGATATATAAACAGTATGGTAGTGGTACCATATTCCTGTATAATGTATCTGATATATAAACAGTATGGTAGTGGTACCATATTCCTGTATAATGTATCTGATATATAAACAGTATGGTAGTGGTACCATATTCCTGTATAATGTATCTGATATATAAACAGTATGGTAGTGGTACCATATTCCTGTATAATGTATCTGATATATAAACAGTATGGTAGTGGTACCATATTCCTGTATAATGTATCTGATATATAAACAGTATGGTAGTGGTACCATATTCCTGTATAATGTATCTGATATATAAACAGTATGGTAGTGGTACCATATTCCTGTATAATGTATCTGATATATAAACAGTATGGTAGTGGTACCATATTCCTGTATAATGTATCTGATATATAAACAGTATGGTAGTGGTACCATATTCCTGTATAATGTATCTGATATATAAACAGTATGGTAGTGGTACCATATTCCTGTATAATGTATCTGATATATAAACAGTATGGTAGTGGTACCATATTCCTGTATAATGTATCTGATATATAAACAGTATGGTAGTGGTACCATATTCCTGTATAATGTATCTGATATATAAACAGTATGGTAGTGGTACCATATTCCTGTATAATTTATCTGATATATAAACAGTATGGTAGTGGTACCATATTCCTGTATAATTTATCTGATATATAAACAGTATGGTAGTGGTACCATATTCCTGTATAATTTATCTGATATATAAACAGTATGGTAGTGGTACCATATTCCTGTATAATTTATCTGATATATAAACAGTATGGTAGTGGTACCATATTCCTGTATAATTTATCTGATATATAAACAGTATGGTAGTGGTACCATATTCCTGTATAATTTATCTGATATATAAACAGTATGGTAGTGGTACCATATTCCTGTATAATTTATCTGATATATAAACAGTATGGTAGTGGTACCATATTCCTGTATAATTTATCTGATATATAAACAGTATGGTAGTGGTACCATATTCCTGTATAATTTATCTGATATATAAACAGTATGGTAGTGGTACCATATTCCTGTATAATTTATCTGATATATAAACAGTATGGTAGTGGTACCATATTCCTGTATAATTTATCTGATATATAAACAGTATGGTAGTGGTACCATATTCCTGTATAATTTATCTGATATATAAACAGTATGGTAGTGGTACCATATTCCTGTATAATTTATCTGATATATAAACAGTATGGTAGTGGTACCATATTCCTGTATAATTTATCTGATATATAAACAGTATGGTAGTGGTACCATATTCCTGTATAATTTATCTGATATATAAACAGTATGGTAGTGGTACCATATTCCTGTATAATTTATCTGATATATAAATAGTATGGTAGTGGTACCATATTCCTGTATAATTTATCTGATATATAAATCATGAGTCACGGACAAATCACCATCCTGGTCTCATTTATCTGGTATCATGCTTCAAAGCATAAAGTACAATAGCATGATTCACTAAACATGTTCGGGAGGAAACACTAGAGGTAGTAGTTAAGGTGGACGGTACCAGTGCGTCAGTTATAATTCTGAAGAAGAGTTCCATTAGAGGTTTTTGGACTTGGAGTATTCTCCCTTCTATGTAGAAGATGAAGCAGTCCAAAGAAGTGTTTTTTGGCATCTAGAGTTACTTCTCCTGTCAAGTTATGCATCTTTCAATGTTCCTTGCCTCTCATACGGTGTTTTTTTTGCAGCCCAATAAATTGGACACTTATTTTTATACTGTATAGTTTTAATTCCTGAACTCCAACATGAGTGAAGTAGGGCAGGCTTTGCAATGTAAAGGTTCTGAGTTTGACCCCTTAAGGTTTTCTGTTTTCTTTTCTTATTTCTACTTTCAAACATTCAAATTTTGAACAACTATAATTCTGTAAAATGCATCACAGCATATGATTTTTATGGAGTACATATCGTACTTCTTTTGAAAAAGAGTTCTACAAATAATTGAAAACAGTGACAAAGGTGATTTATAGTTTAACATGTTACCTTTACCGTAACATTTGTGTCGTGTATAGTCATAGCTGAGTGGTTATTTTTTCTTAAAAACCGGGGCAGTGATGGAAGTGTTATGACTAGCCCTGCACTGGAAGTTAAGGGGTTCAGCCTTAGTCATTGGGTTAAAACAAATACCTAACATGTACATGTGATTTTACAGCTGACAAAGAGGAAGCATCACACACAAAATCTTTCTTATACAATAGACTTCAAATTTGAAGAAAAAACAAAAACACAAAAAATACAATACCAATTCATTAGTTTACATAGAAATACAAATTTGATAAAAAAAATTAGTCAGGTTTGAGGCTTATTACCTTATATTTCTTACATCATTAACAGATACATAGTAATTACAGCTGTACTTAGTTTGCATGAAGGTCTGTGCATAAAATAATGTTGATTCTGATGTCTTTACATATTTTTACAACTACTCTGATATTAAGTTAAAAATAAAAATATTACATGTATCTTTAGACAAATGTGTACAATATTTTGATACTTTATAATACTTTATCTGTATCCCATCACACAGAACTAGTGTGTGACCTGTCATACACTAAAACTGGTGCACATTACCTACCTCCTCTTTGTGTTTCTCCAGTAACATAGCATTAATTTCATCGTTTCTCTGCTGTAGTTGTTCCTGCAGCTGTTTTAGTCTTGTCTGACTCTCCTCAGCAATAGCATGGATCTCCTTACATTTCTCCTTTTCTTTCTGAAATTTTAATTGTAGATGTCTTTGAATTGTGATGGCTTTTCTTGTCTACCATGGTTTTAGATAATCTTTGCCCTGGGATCACATATATCAGTTTTACCATGGTTTCAGATAATCTTTGCCCTGGGATCACAGTTCTACCATGGTTTTAGATAATCTTTGCCCTGGGATCACATATATCAGTGTTACATATATATGCTGCCAACATGTCAAACTGAAGCAAAGTAATTGCACTGAACTTGAAATATTTCAAAGATGTCTTACATTCTGTTATCACTATTGTTACCTGCTTGGGACACAACTTGGGACAACACTAGTGAATACATACTGTATATATCAGGTTATTAATGCATGATGCAAATTTTGCAAATTTGTTCAAAATCTAATTTCTGCATTTGAATTTTCATATTTTTACTATATCTCCATGCAAGTGATATCACATTAGTGTGTCGTAATGTTTGGTATGTGATCAAAAGTTGGTGTTTTAATTTTCATGACTTCTCCATCTCACAAAGAGAGAGAATAATAGAATACTTGATGTATGTGTATAATAAAATAGTGCCCCTCTAGGAGATTAAAGAAGAGGAGTCTGAAATTGCATCAATAATTAGTAATTAAAGTCTGTTTTTGAAGCATATATCATATGTCGTTTTTATATTACCATTGTCATCAATTACTGACAAAATGATATAGTAAAATAATCCATAACTCACCAAAGAACAGTTTATTATGGGGCAAAATAAAAAGCTTCCATCGAATGTCTGAAAATAATTCCGAGGTGTAAATATGGTTTTCCCCAAAAAAATGCTTCTCTGGACTGAAAATTCATTCAAATTAACGTACGTGTACATCATGTATACATTTAAATGTCTGAAAAGGTTATTTGCCAGAGTCTGAAAATTGAATGTCCCAAACACTCAAAAGTCATTTACTACTTTATAAAACATCACAAATAAGGAATATTTACCACACTATCACCTGTTTTAAAGTAGATGCCTTTCACATCAATAAACCATGAAGTGGTAGGTCAACGCAGGCTTCAGAAACAATCACATTCACTCAAATATTGTAACAAAGAGTTTTGAATAAAACTCTTTTCATTTGGTAGCTAGGAAACGATATACAACTATTGATAAAAGTTTTTTAATGTTCACCTCCTTTTTAATATTTCAACACACAATTGTCAACAAGCAAACATTATCATGCACTTTTTGTGCAATCAGAAAAGCATCATGAAAAAAGCTTTACAAAATAGATTTAAGAATGGCCCATACAGCATTATGATAGAGTATGTTTTGTGTGTGTACTGGGTAAGTGTGTACTGGGTAAGTGTGGACTAGGTAATACTGTATCGTGGTATCAATTATTCAAAACAGTTATACATGTATCATTCCTTCCCATAGCTGATACCACTGATTCAAAATGAAAGGTGATAGGATACTTATATCGCCCATTAAAGTTTAAGTGTTGCATTTTCACCAGTACAAAATTTTGTATTTTTCATTTACTTGTGCTATTTCCAAATTTGCAGGGAAATAAGACGCCCAAGTGCATTGAATTGTTTACCAAGGTATTTTTTTACTTTGCTTTTTTCCTTTTTAAATTTTGAACCCTATATGGGATAAGAATCCTGGATGTCATCACTATTAAAACCTGCCTAGTATTTTGGAAAGAAAGGTCATTTTAAAAAGAAATCAGCCAATTTGAATCCTTTACCCAGCCCCTCAGCCCCCAGGAGGGTCGGCTCCTTCATTTGAATATGTTTTGAGCCTTATGGGCTAAGTATATTACCACTACAATTTAGTTGAAATATGTCCAGTCCTTTGATAAAAGATGTCATCGAAAGTAAATCACCTATTTGACTTCTTTTGTTCCAGCCCTTCAGCCCCCAGGTGGCTCAGCTTCTTTGATTAACTGCTGATCCCCATAGGCTAAGCATGCTACTAGATTTGTTTGAAATCTGTCGAGCACATTTTGAGGAGATGTTTTTTAAAATAAATCAGCTAGCCTACAGATTACCAGTTCAATGTTCTACTAATTGAGCTAACAATAAATTCCCCTGAACTGAGCTGGTACCATTCAAATGAACAGTTCACCACTGGGACACTATCTTGAGTTATTAATGTAAAACCTTGCTATTTTGATAAACATCAGAGGAACCCCATAAAGGTTGATGTATTTATATTTTTGATCTCTGTCCTACTGCAGGCAAAACACTTGAGAACTCTGTTGTGTTTCTGTGTATATACAGTAACTCCCCATTAATTATATTTTGGATTTTACTGTAGTGTACTTGGGCGAAGGCACCTAACCAGGCAGCTCAGAAAATAAGAGGGAGAGTGTAACAATCTGAGGTCCAGGGTTCGATTTCTGCTCTGGCCCTGCTGATTTTTTACACTAAGGATACTGTTTTTGATAATATTGTATTGATCTTTTTCAATTTTTCATAACCTGTAAATCTTTCAGAAGTGATTTATCAAACCTAAAGTTATGTAAGATAAAACAACTTATAGGGTCCAGTACAGGGACCCATTCCCAATTGAAAATGACTTAGCATTTTCCCAAATTCAGTCTTTATTTTCCAATTGGATTAAAAACAGTGTTTATAAGAAAGAGATCTTTTGATGCAAATGACTTTCCACCACTTTTCTCAATGGTTAAAAACAAGAGATCCCAGAGGGATCTTGGCGCCCATCATCGTACCATCTTCATTAGTTCTTTGTCAGTTCGATCTTTTCTCTTCTTTCCTCTAATCTGTTTGATCGAGTCAATTTAACAGTAAATGCACCTTGAGGTTACTTTTGATCTAAACTTATTACTGATGTGTATGAAAGCCAACCTTCAAAGTGAGTTTGTCATTTCACATATTTACCAGTACAGTACTTTATATGAAAGAAATAGAATCGATCATTGCAATATGAGAAAGATTTGTTTAGTTCTTCCTTTAGCCATTTTGTTTTTATGATCAGTCTCAAATTATAACATGCACAACAAGGGATCAAGAGGAACCTACATATCAAATTTGAGAAAGATCCCTCAAGTTATTCCTGAGAAATAGTACTAACAAACCTTCAATGTCAAAAATCGAAGATGGCTGTCGGTAGGCCATTTTGTTTAACTGATCAGTTTCAAAAGTAAACAAGAACAATAAAGCATAGAAGGGAACCTGCATATAGAATTTGAGAACCTTAACTGCCAAAATCAAAGATTTGTTTATTTGATCAATCTTATAAGAAAATATGCAAAACTTCATACCAAGGGGAACTTACACTGTCAAAATCCAAGATGTCTGCCTGTCTGCCATTTTATTTATCTGATCAGTCTCAAAAGTTTATATACACTAGTAAAGACCTAAGGGAACCTATATATAAAATTTGAGATAGATATCTCCAGCACTTCCTTGAGAAATAGCAATAACAAACCTTCAATGTCACAATCCAAGATGGCTGCCTGTCAGCAGAAGTCCCAAAAGTAAACCTGCACAACTAAGGACCAAGGGGAACCTACATTTTAAATTTGAGAAAGATCCCTCTGTACTTCCCGAGAAATAGAGGTAACAAACCTTCACTATCAAAATCCAAGATGGCTGCCTGTAGGCCATGTTGTTTATCCGATCAGTCTCAAAAGTTGCCCTGCACAGCTAGGGGCCAAGATCCCTCTGGTACTTCTTGAGAAATAGCGATAACAAGAATTGTTTAAGGACGGACGACGGACGGACGACAGACCACGGACAGACGACAGACCACGGACGCAAGGTGATTTGAATAGCCCACCATCAGATGATGGTGGCCTAAAAAGTTGACAGAAGCGGTTTAAGTGTTGCTCGGACAGATTCAAGGGGAATAACTCTTGTAATGCTTGTTTTCTGGTTTCTCATTGAGAACTATTTTTTAAAACACGCTTAAAAGTAAAGTATGTCTCTCTTTTTCTTAAAGAAAAGGTTAGTTCACAGACATCAAACAATTTAATGAAATTGATTTTTCCAAATATTTACCATTATATTTACATTAGTGTTTTTTTTGGATGCATCTCATGGAAATAATTTTGGGAAGAAAATCTACCAATCGGAAAAGAAATTTTCCGGAGTAAACTGCAAATTTTGGGAATTAGACATAAACGTGAAATAGTTTCAATTGAGAATGGGGCCCATTATCAGCCCCAAAAAGTCCCCAGAAAAAACACTGTTTATTTCGAACTTCACAAAAAAACTTCAATTGGAAACATATTTAAGATTTTTTGCTAATTTACAGACTTTCTTACTTTCTCATTAATGTCATTGTGACTAGTTCTCCCTAAGTAGCATGGAGGGACTTTCCTAGCCCTAAAGGTAGAAATTGATGGATAAACAAATAAGAGCAAAATTAAACAGCAACATGCTTCATGTTGTTTATCAACAATGTTTAGTCTTTAATTTTACCTGGACAGTGAAGCTTTGGAATCATTTCTTAAACTTCACAATGACATCTTAATTCCACCCTGTCGTCGTCGTCATTGAATGATGCAGTTATGTACCCAGTTTCTGTGATGGTCTACTTATAGTACATACTGCTCCATTAGGATCCAGTGTCATATGGGATTTTACCGTCTATATTACTTCTTTGACCCATATAGTACATACTGTATATACTGTGATACTACTACAATCCAAAACAACAGAAATGTATTGGGAGGGGAATGTTTGAAAAACTACTATAACTTTTGTATCTGCAACACTTTTGAATGGCAACAAACTGTTTTGCATATATACAATTACATAGACTAATAATAATGTAAAACGAAATTCACAAAAAAAACATATAAGGATATCAAACATTTTGGCCATGTATTTAGAACAGCCAGACCAACTTAACCACATGACAGTCATAGGATGTTGGTAAGCAGATGACAAGGAATTGTAGAAGACACAGATCACATTAAAATTTAACTTTCCAAGGCATTTTGAACCTAATAAATAGGTAATATGCAGGCATTAAAGTAGCCTGAATTTACTTGTTTTCCTTTCATTACTTGAGAGACCCTCGCAGATGTTAAAACATTGTTTACCTTTCCTACCAAAAACCTAATGGCATCAACAAACTTGCAGTATGTGTCCAGCGATGCATTAAATATCAATAATACAGCACTGCAAATAATGTAGTTCAAAAGTGAGATTAAACAAGATTATACTCAGCTGTTCAAAAAAACCTAATGTTATTATTCTTCAATGTTCCATAGGTTATGGCCATCTTAATGGAAAGCATAACACCTATTTGAGTGCAGTGTATTTTATCAAATTGGTATTCGCTATTAACATTCTGTATTTGTATCTTTCTCACTAAATTGACTCACTAATGAGCACTGCACATTGAGCCTCCTCTGCCCCGTCAAGCAATATATAAAAAAATCTCATCATCAGAAAGCTACGTTATCACAGCTAAGCTTGGGACTAATATCATAATAACCGGCCACCTCTGCCCAAACCCACATTATATTATGTAAATATCATCTCAACGTCAGAAGATATGTTAGATTCCAGAGACTTTATGCTGATACGTACACTGATAGGCATAGGTGTGACGATTAATGGAAAGTCTAAGGCTTGTGTAACAGGAAAGAGAATAGTGTGCTTCCACCACAGATCGAACCCTCGATCTCCAGGTTCTAGTTCTACCATATAGTGACCACCTTCAACTAATTGAAGATTTTGTCACGAAGTTGGGTTTATGCAGCACAAATGACAGACTATATATATTACATAACAATTAATAAATGACACTTAGTTAAAGTTAAGAGAAGGAAAATTTAGTTTGAGGGGAGTCCGAGAGAGAGGTCCGATCAAGCCAGTGATTGGGCAGCCCCCACCGACAAAGCATGTTCGGAAAAGGGGGAAAAGAAGAGAAGTGGTAAATTATTATGTAAAGTCTGTTGAAGTAACTAATTACTCTGCAATCTATTTTATAGGTGTGCCTGGAAAGAGATGTTTTGAAAGAGTTGAAAGTAGGTGCATTAACGATGTCTGATGTTAATTTGTTCCAGTCTAGTATGGTACGAGGACAAAATTATTGTTGTCTAATTAGTGTTTTCGAGTATTGCTGTTGGTATTGGACCTGATGGGAATTTCTAGGAATTCTTCTGGCTCGGTGCATCCTGTCAGTCGTGGATATGGCCACCGTGCCCTGATGTAAATCAGGGCACGGTTCCTAGTCGGACGCTCTACCACTGAGCTAAAGGGAAATTCCCTCTCGTTTGAAGCTAGAAGGCGACCTTAATCCTATGTACAATTGAACCCTGCCACACTACTCCCCCCTTTTTAAATTTGTTTGCCCTCGAACACCACAACACAGGTTCTAACTCCCTGTCACTATAGGGAGGGCCACGGACACCATTTGTAACAGGAAAGAGAATAGTGTGCTTCCACCGGGAATCGAACCCTCGATCTCCAGGTTCCTAGTCGGACGCTCTACCACTGGGCTAAAGGGAACCTTAATCCTATGTACAATTGAACCATGCCACACTTGTAATGTTTAATAAGCATTTCATTAAACGATATGCTGTAAGTATATTAAAATAAAAAAATAAAAATGGTCCGTTTGATAAGATTAAATGTCATATTTGATCACGTCATATATAAAAGTGGATCTTAACATTATTGTCACAAAAAGTATACCTCATATTCAGCAATTGTGGCCTTCAGAGCCTTGTTTTCACGTGCTATTTCCTGTACAAATTGCAAAGTTTGTACGTGCTTTTGTGTTAACTGTTCGTTTTGATCATGTAACTTTTCTCGTGGGATTCTTTCCCCAACATCTTTAGGATTAGCATTATTCATGGTTCCCGGAGATGAAAAGCAAGGAGAGTTGCTTATCAAGCATCTGAAGTAAAATTCGTCTGCATCCTGGATTGCTTAGCAGCTGTCAACAATCAGTAAACAGGCTTCCGCCACTTCCTGCCAAGTAACTGTCAAAATAGATCACAATACGTTATTTTCTTTATTCCTTGTTCAGATTTTAAATAAAATCATGTGTTAAAAATGTAATACAAGTTTATATTAATTGAGATTCAAATTAATCTAGCAATGTTTGATAAAGATAACATGCTTTAAAACGATACATAAAGTGTATTAATTTTTCTTACTTCCGGGAAAAACGCCGGAAGCACGCCTCACGCCATTGTCGGAAAGTTGAAGAGTCATCGACAGCAAATTGTAACTCGCCGGTTACATACGAAAGAAGATAATTGTAGCAACCATAATGCCGCCTACAGACCCATCGAAGATATCCAAGGTGGTTGTCCACCCGTTGGTCCTTCTAAGCGTGGTGGACCACTTTAATCGGATGGGGAAAGTTGGAAATGTGAAACGAGTTGTTGGTGTTCTTCTTGGCTCAAATAGACAAGGAGTTCTTGACGTTTCAAATAGTTTTGCAGGTATAACTCAATAACTGTGAAATACTCAGTATGTATATTCGTTGAGTGTTTGCATTGAAAATGTATATTCCCTATTCTTCCCGAAATAGAAAGCTTTCTCTTTTAAATAACGGCAATTAACCTAAAAGGTAATTGATAACACAAAATAGAATGGTTTTCAGTCACTGATTCTGGCACACACACTGCACAAACAACATAAAATAAATAGTAAAAAGGTACAAAGAAGAACCGCATGCTACATCAACAGCTCATACCGCAACACATAAATCCAGTTACAGACTAGTCTAAATTATTCCGACGTTTTATCGACTTTTTTTTGGTCACCCTTAAAAGCGTCTTCAACCGACAACAAGCGTCGCCAGGTAAAATCTTTAAAAATACTGAATAAAGTAAGCGACATCAGATGATATGTTGTTAATATGACTATAATACACCTCCGTACCAAATTTCAATTTGATAAAATGACCTGAGTTAACGATGAATTGAATTTTTACGATCGCGGCGTGGCAAATGTGTGTATTAGCATGTAAAGTGACCATTTAAATTAGGTTTAGTCTTCATTTAAAACTATAAGTACTTAAGGATTTTTTTTAAACACCAACATTAAATCGATCAGTCACACGACCATATAACGGACCCTGAGTTGAACCACGTCTTTAGGGTCTGGTTACATGCTCGTTCAAGAGTGTGGCTGAGAGTTCTACAATAAAATCTGGTCTAACTGTGTTCACTTATGCGAAGCCCTACCCTACGTACACATATGTGACACGGCGTATAGCTTTGTAAAGTCGTAAAATAATATTCACGATAACTCAATCATTTTTCTACAAATCTACCTGAAGTTGGGTATTCCAAAGTTGGGGTGGTTAATTTATGGGAGTAAACTACGATTATGAGTATACTAATGTACTCGCTTAAAGATTTTTTTTGGCCAGTAACATCCATCTTTTGACAATTTCTAGTCGCCCAAGGTTTTGGTCGCCTTTGGCGACCAGGCGACCGACTGTGTCCAGCGCTGTAAAGGTGTATCATAGTTATATGAATAACACATCTTCTGATGTCGCGTACTTAATCAATAATTTTAGAGATATAGTTTGAAGACGCTTCACAATCTGTCGAGTTCTATTCACACACGTGTGCCAAGCCGTCGATTATAGTAATCAAAATCATAATTATAAAATGTTGGGAAATACTGCTCGTAATGATCTTTAAAACATGTTATTGATACCATCCAGTGCATAAAGAATAGATCTTTCGATCCAGTTGCAACATGTGTGTGAAAGTGACGATTTGTTTTTAAAATATCAGTTTGAAGAGCGACCCTGGCGCGGGTCACTTATTTTCCGCATGTTATAGAGGGCAGACTGATATAAAAAAAAAGTTGATAAAAAACATCAGAATAATTCGGACAAGTTACAGACATGCTACACAATCTACTATGGCCTGTCCTCCATACACGGAATCATAAGGATGCACCTCATACTGACTTGAGTAAAAGCAGTACTGTAGTTATCAAGCTGAGTATACGGATATGACCTTAGCTACAGATACACCTAGCGATACATGCAAACACTCCTTTACCTATACCATAAACAATTTAATCTACTCCCCAATACTACTATCCAAAACAGGGACATAAATTGTGGGGATTGGAAACTTGAAAACAGTTAAGACTTGTTCACTGAAATGTGAAGTCATCAGAGTCCCTTCTTGACAGCTGTAGCTACAAATGCCCTGTTCAGGTTGCCCCTGGCTGCACAATAGCCTCCATTTATTAGCAAGGACCAGCATTATCTTGCTGACTAGTGAAAAGTGAAGCTAGTTTTTGAAACAACTATATAACATAATTTAGACATAAATATTTGCCAAAACATGCAATTTGAAAGATAACTTTAGGCCAAAACTTTGAGAGAATAAGGTACAGTAAAACTCCACTTCCTCAAACTCTGTTTACTCGAATACCCCTCATTAGTCAAACAGTTTGTTTGGTTCCGACCAAGTTCGTACATATTCTTTGTAAAGTAACGTCATCATCACGACTAGTAATATCAATTCTATACATTAATCTCTGTGGTAAATCCAAAGTTCAGTTGCCTTGCTGGTTGTTATTCCAATTTCTATATCATTGTGATAGCTATTACTACTTATGCTATGTGTCTTTACAGTACCATTTGATGAAGATGACAAGGACAAAAGTGTGTGGTTCCTGGATCATGACTACTTGGAGAGCATGTATGGCATGTTCAAGAAGGTCAATGGTAAAATAATTTGGTGGAAGTGTTATTTTCAGCAGTGACTATTTACATGTTATCTTTTTGTCATATTTAGCATTAGCAATCTTGGTTAACTGCAAAATCAAAACTAGAATTGCTTGAGAATTTTATATCTGGGCAAATCCTCAAAATTGAGATCATCAAGTGCTTGGTCAGACATATTAAATAAAAATTGAAGTAAACAATACACATAATGATATATGTATGTAATGATATGACACATAGTCCATATTCCCATAATGACTGATTCACCAGTAGCATTGCCAATTTGTGATTTATATAGTAAATGTAATTTCTAATTGATTAAATGTTAATACAATGTATGTTATATCTTATGGTGTGAACCAGAACAAAATAATAAACAAATGTAATAAAATTGTAGTTGTGAAATTACATTGGTGGGAAAAGAATTGTATTGTTCAACACATCGATTATACTATTAAAGTTGTCAAAATGAACATGTAGCTGATTTATAATTCTAGCACGAGAAAAGGTTGTTGGATGGTACCATACTGGCCCAAAACTTGACCAGAACGATGTTGCTATCAATGAGCTGATCAGGAGATACTGCCCAAACTCGGTTCTCGTCGTAATTGATGCAAAGCCAAAAGACCTCGGCCTGCCAACAGAGGCTTACATATCTGTGGAGGAGGTTCATGATGTAAGTTGCGTTACGTTGTAAAGTTGACATCACAAGTTAACCATTCTTTTTTCGTTACAAAAGGAAATTAATTTTCTACATTGAGACCTCAAGACCCTCCCCCCAGTACACAAAATAAAATATTCACAATTCAGATAGAGCTGTAAGCCAAAAATACGTTTTAAATCCTCAATCCTGGATGTGTTGTTACATCACTGATAAACAGTCAAACCTGTCTGTAATAATAACTCTTTGCCCAGACTACACATATATATTCAAGATCTCTTGAGTTTACCAATTAGTGTGAACAGAGAAATTTAATAAGCGCTCACAAAGTGATGTGATGTATGTTACTGTAGTGTAAATTCACAGGTACTTTCAGATAGTTTTGTTTTTGCCCCTCTATGAGTACAGGATGTTAAGGATTTTTTTCTTACATTGACCTCTGACCTTTACCTGAACATTTTGATTTTTATAAAATTTTCATTGTTTTTGTTTACTATGATTCTACAGCCAACTGTTTCTTTCTAATTGAGAACAATACTGTGGGGAGTTAAGAAAATGTTTGATTTTACAAACCAATAGTGTAACTGTCAGTGTGACTGGATGGGGTGTACATGGATCTTTCAAAGCACTTGCATGATCAATAAGAACATTTGTTTTTTCATATAAGTTGTATCTTTCAAAATTAGTATACCCTCGAGGGTATAGGAATCTGCCAATATATGTATAAGTCCTTGACAATGTCAGTAGCGCTACAGAACACTTCTCCTCTGATTACCCTGAAACTTTATTTTAAACATTATCATTGTAGGATGGTACCCCAACATCCAAGACATTTGATCATGTGCCAAGTGAGATTGGAGCTGAGGAGGCAGAGGAGGTTGGAGTGGAACATCTGCTCAGGTAATTTGACAGTTGTCTAACTCTTATTGACTAAATAATCAAATATATTATCTGTTCTTACCCATTGTGTGTAATACGTTTCATCAAATGTCTCTATTAAGCTTTTATTTTTGCTTAGAAAATTCATAAAACAGTTTTACTTTGGATGTAATGTATCCTTTTATTTCTCCCCCCTACATATTTGAGGGTGTACCTCATCCCTATTCCCGCTGGGATTTGGGTTAAATTTTCTTTTTGATAAAAAAAAATCTTCCTTTCTTCATTCAATACTTTTCCTTTTTGTTCATACCGTAAAAACCCATGTAATTTGCGCACCTGTGTAATTTGCGCAGGTACTTTTTGAGGCTGAAAATCGGGGGGGGAAAAGCTTCTACTCAAATATTTTGCGTACCCAAAAAATCTGGGGGGAAAACGATGTTCATGCTCCGAAAATCGATCCCTGAATATATTTTTTTTAATTATATTCTTATGATATGGGTAGTTATTATTACCATACACATCAAAAAATATATAGAAAGTCATGTTTAAAGTTTTCAAGCAAAGGAAAGTGAAAGATCGTCAAATACCTTAGAAAAATACTGCTATTAGACAAAAAAAATACTGCTCTACCCAACGTTGAACATGGATAATTGTTTATTACAGGGATATAAAAGACACGACTGTAGGCTCTTTGTCTCAGAGGATCACTAACCAGTTGATGGGTCTGAAGGGTTTACATTCCCACATCACAGACATTAACAATTACCTACAGAAAGTTACATCACAACAGTTACCAGTAAACCATCAGATCATCTACCAGCTTCAGGATGTATTCAACCTCCTCCCAGATATCAATCTCCAAGACTTTGTTAAATCAGTGTATGTGAAAACCAATGATCAGATGTTGGTAGTGTATCTGGCCTCGCTCATTAGGTCTGTAATAGCCTTACACAATCTCATAGGCAACAAGTTACAGAACCGAGAAGCCGAGAAAAGTGAGGTGAAGGACTTAAGTAAAGAAAAGAAAGAGAAGGAGAAAAAGGAAAAAGAGGAAAAGGAAAAAGACTCTGATAAGAAAGATTCAGATAAGAGCAAAACGGAAGATAAGAAAGACACCAAGAGTAAAAGTGGAAAGTGAAAGTAGAAGTAAATTGTAGGCAAACGAGTGATAGTGCTATTTCATCATTAAAAGTGCTCATTACTATGATGAAAGTCACGGTTAGGCTACACATGTGTGTTGGCCAGATATTACAGACTTCAGTCTTCTTGTGTTTCAGGTAATGTTAAAAGTCTGCTCTTAACATGTGAAATGACCGTTTCTCAGATGTGTAGCCATCCTGCAAATGGTTGTTGGAGAATTTGTTGTTTTCTCAGAACAGTGATAGACGGTTTTGGAGTATTACATTGTTCTAATCTGAATATTGATAAAGAGAGAATACAGTTTTATTTAAATCTTTGCTGGAGACTCGTAGTAGTAAGCAGGAATTGAAACACATGACAGATATTAGGTGGATACAAAATCTTGGTTAAGCAGGTTAATATACTAATGTGATTCTTGTGTGGTCATATTGACCCAGATATTGTGCAGCTTGTCAGAAGCACATACACAATATCATTCATAATGATTGTATTATATATATTTCTGTTAATGATTAACTTCATTGAAATAAATCTGACATTGTATATTTGATTGATTTTGGTGTTTTTTAAGTACACACAAATGATCTTGTAAAAATTAATGGGGTGGAAAATAAGAATATTGTTTTGCAAAATCTGAAACTTTACATGTTTAGTTTGTGAACCTGAGAATGTGTTACTCATAAATTCTAGATTTTAATATTAATGCTTCATAACAGATAACAAACACATCACATAAATTTCAGAAGATTTATTAAAGTTTTCAGACCAAGAATTGCCTACTGTCTGTCGCTGACCTTTTTGAGTAAAAGACAAGAGCTGAAAAGCTGTCTTGATGAATTAAATTTAAACCTGCAGGCGATGGAACCGCTATTAAACAAACTGTTTGTGTAACATGAAAAAATGGGGGTAAGATCAAGGTAATATCTGTGATATGAAATAGGCCAATACTTGAATGTATGACTGGCCCAATGACTGATTGGTGCAGCAACTGAGTATTCTCCACAACGTGGACTTATTACCACATTCTAGGTAGGCATGTTGCCAATGCTGTCACTTGGTGGAGCCAGCATGCTGGCAACATTACCCGAGCTGTATGACCAAATGGGGGAGAAATAGCATTTCATTGGTAATTTGAAATGACACTGTAATAGACAACTGTACATCATGTCCATAAAATGCAATGTGGCCCCATTCATCTCTTCAAATTGTACATAAAATACCCTGAAAAGGACAGGAATAGTCAGTGGCAACCTAAACATCTATGAAGGAGATATTAAGATCCATGTCCCTCGTTTGATACTGTATACCACGAAAGTTGAACTTTTGCCCCCGGTAATGCGGGCAAATTTATCAGTACAGCAAATGTAAGTAAAAAACCTAATAAAAACACAGTAATCAAATGTGAAGGGTAAACTAAGCACCAAGAGAATAGGAATTTCAATGGCATAGGGTGAAAGTTCCCTGGTATACAGTATGAGAATGATAGAAGAATTGGCTGGAAAGGTACAGAGCTTGGTGGACAGACTGACCCTCACTGTAATGCAAACCAAGCTCAATATAATAGATACAAACAAGTATGTTTAGAGTAGATATAGTAAGCTAAATATGTCGCTGGCTGTGGTATCATTCATGATGATTCAATTATATATATAAAACAATAATGAAGCTGGCAAGGTATTCTCATTGTTTAAAATTCATCTCTAGGGCATGTAGAGATTAGTAGATCATTCTTCCCTTGGGACAGATAAATTAACTACATAATTTGTATTCAACATTTACCAAGCTACATGTATTTAATATACATTATTTTGTACAGTTCAATTAGAATGTAGTAAAAAATATATATCATGTGATGATAAAACATTGTTTTTGGGGTGAAACAATTCTAGTACAATGTAGATAGATATAATTTGTAAAAGGGAACTGGAAAATACAAACAACATATATAACGTTTGAAGAATCAAGATACATATTAAAGACAAATGGTAAATGAGGTAATATAATTGCAAAATGAAACTAGTGCCATCTATACAAAGGGACATAACTTTTGCAAAGCCTTGAGCATGCCATTTGAATTATGTTCGAAGTAAGGTTAAGTCACCCCCATACCATACTTAAATAAATACTATGAGTATCAAGTCAGCTGTTCTAAATAAATAATTCTAGACTATTAGTACTGCATTGATTTGTTTCAACCCTCGGAGGAGAAAAGTAATATTTACATCAAAGGTATCATAACAGGCCATTACGATAAGAAAATAAATAAGAAAATAAAACCCCAATGAAAATTACCTGTTTCTTCCTGTTATACAGTATTGAGATTTACATAAAAAGTAGATAAGATGGACGTAAAATGATTGAGTATGTTTGTGGTTAACCACCATTCTATCCCAGGTATGGTATAAGAAATCATTCGATGTAAGACACATTAAACCTGTTTAGTTATATAACTGTAAAACCCTACAAACAACCAACATCAATGAGGGGTGTCATCACATTTGTTTAGTTGTGTAGCTGCCATTTGATCTGTAATGTCGGATTGTGTCTCGTCCTGTAATAGAGAAAATCGGTTCCTAGTTTGAGAAGTTCCATCACTATTGTCATCATTTAAATTGCTACACATCTGAGTAAGTTCTGGATCATTACTCTCTGGACCAGTTATAATAGCTGCTCCTCCTTCTGATGAATTTTCATCACTGTGTGTGTCTCTCTTTAGATTGCCATTTGTTTCGTGATGTTCAGTGTTATCACTTCCTGAATTAGTAGAGTTATCTCCCACTCCTCCAGCTATTTCTTTCTTCTTTACAGCAGAATAATCATCGCATTCGTGTGTACTTTGAAGAAATGATGTCCTAGAAGTAACAAAACAATTACTTAAATCAATTTGCTGGTAAAAAATCACAGCTGACAAATATATTATCATATAAATATAAACCCTTTCACCACTGTAGACCATAATGGATTCATCCAGATCTATGCATAGTAGAGTCTACTAAGTTACAAAGGGGTGAAATTTGATTCAACACCATTGAAAATCAAAACTCCTTCAAATGCCAAATATATTTACTGCTGTTACACTGTACGCAGTATTATAATTATCATTTATGCTTATAATTAAAAACGACATCAAAACTGCTGTGAAGGTGTACTAGGCTGTTTTTAACACTGCTGGAGTATACCCCAGTAATATGAATTGTATTTCTGTAACAAATATGTGGAAAATAATAATATTGTAGTACAATATTTTTCTATTCCATCTTTGCGTATTGCAGAGTTGCATTGTTTGTAAGAGTAATGTCAACAATTTTTAAGAAAACGACGTAATTTTCTCACACAAACCAATGACGTAACAATCAATACCTGCTCACAAGAGAAGATAACTCTGCAATATGCAAAGACGGAATACAGTGTTATGGCTTAAATATAATAGCATTCTATACACAATGTGCATTTAAAGGGGCTGGTCGGGGGGAAAAAATACAAAATAAATGGGTCTAAATGCATTAGCTGGCTTTCTAAAAGTTATACTACAGCAATATAATGGTCGAGTTCTGCTTGCATTGTCCAGTTTTGACCACTGAAATCTCGGGGAAGCCCCACGTAAATTCAGCGCGGATCTATTTATATATGTCACGTGGTTGTTTCGAAAGTGAGGCAGTGAAGATAACAACAACAACATGCCGTCATGTGCCATGTCGGACTCAGCTAGCGGACAAGACAGCAATACTACATGTAAATAATTGTTTTCAAAGGTCATGTATGATGCAAGTGTAGTATTCCTACCTATACGTTGTTGTTATATATAACGGTATTGATACGTCGTGCCTGTCATAACTTTTGCATGCATCTTTTTCTTTCTCCGCAATGTTTACATTTAGCCTTGATGACGCGCGTGCGGTAAAATTACATCACTGATCTGGGTCAATTGAGAGTTTTAGACTGTCAGGTGACGATTTAGGATTTCTTTAATATAATTGTATTTTTTACTCTTAGGGAGTGAATTTCAGCAAAATTTGAATCGGTATATTTCATAAGAAGGTATTTTAAACATGTGTATGACATTTTAGCAAACATGACATTTTTTTCCCCGACTAGCCCCTTTAAAGTGTAATTACAATGGCTAAAATAGAGTACTACAATAGTAATCTATACACAGTGAAATTTCCATTGCTTACCTGGTAAGTGCATTAAAAAAAAATATAATTATAATGGCTAAAAGACAAAGATTACCATAAAACAGGGAATTTGTCAGCGATCTCATCCATCTTGATAGAACCTTCTTCATATTGATTCAATGTCCATCGTAGGAATTTTTTCCCAAGACACTGTCAAAAATAATCAAATTTGATAATTATAACTTAAGATATGATCAACATTTGTGTGTTTATTATGTTGGAATACATATTAACAAGGATGAGAAATGTAGCTTTAAGATATAAGGAAGGCTGCTTAGCCAAGTTAAGTATATCTATTCTACCACATGAAAATGTAATTGAATATACATCATGTATATACACATACCGATATATACTTTGTGTTTACTACAGTGCCTATAAGACAACGTAATAATGATACAATGTACTGGATCTAGAACCGATGGTCATGTTGAGCAAGCTTAATGTGGATGTAAAAATATTCAGACACATATATGCTTGCATGTCCCAGACTAATAAAAATCTTTTACCTGTAACTGAGCGAGATCGGGTTATCTCATTCGAGGGTTAAGATTCTGTAACAAAATCCCAACCGAGGCGTTAGTCGAGGTTGGGATGTTACAGAATCTTAGCCTGCTCAGTTACAGGTAAATGATTTTTTTTCTCTCACCTTTTAGTTCTAAAAGTACTATTCAATTTTGCTAAAAACTACGAGTATCCCGCCTTGGGCCTCAAATGATAATGACCTCTTCACTATTAAAGCTACACTTTACGCTTTTGCGTAAAATGTAGTCCGTCCTTACATAGATTACAATGTTCTTCACAGTGTAGATTATATTGTATCTACAACATCAAATATCTAACAACATCAAAACTACACATATAACGACAAAACAAAACATTTATAATGCAAAGTGCCAATTTCAAGCAGTTAACGCTTGGATGAATACATCGCAGTGTAAAAATTCCGCGAAAATGTCTCGTAAAGGTACAAGACAGATCGGATGAGATAGACAAATCTAGCATGGGGTATAACGTGGGATAGCTCTGTCTGAGGTGTGAGAAAAATTGTGTACGGCTCGCGTGTTAACATTTACATTACATTACAGAAGGTCTTGGCTTTACATTCATGTATTAATCTTATGTTTGAAAAATGATAAGAAATCCTAATTCATGAATGAGCTAATTCGTAACATCACTATAAGATGTGATTCTATTTACCTTCCAGAAGTTGACGGTGTCATCATCTAGGGCTAACCATTTCTGTATCTCATTGATTCTCCCCTCTGTCTGTAACACACAAACTCAACTTTATAGAAATGGTATCTTCAAACTTTCATTAACTTGGTCAACCAAATATTCAGCTTAAACAACGATGTCATAAGACAGAACATTGACAAAGTAGAAAATAGTTAAATGTAGCAAAGCAGTAACCTTCTTTTGATTCACATGGCTTTGTTAATTATGCCTCCCCTTCGAAAGAAGGGAGACATATTGTATTAGTACTGGTTCTTCTTCTGGCTCTTCTTTTTCTTCTTCTTCTTCTGGTTCTTCTAATCGCAACTTGTCCGGGCCATAACTTTTAAACCGTCAAAGATATCTTGATGAAACTTTAGGTATGCATGCATCACCCACAGAATGTGTGCAGTGCACTGAAATTATGTTACTGTGACCTTCACCTCAAAGTCAAAGAAGTGCACATTTTCAGTAAATTCTTGTCTGGCCCGTAAATTTCAAACCATTAAAGATATCTTAATCAAACAGATTGCTTCTTGATGATTATGGGGGATATATCGCCACAAGACGGGGCCCTTACTGACCTGTCAGTGTTCTAGTTTCACCTACGTTGACCAAACTTGCTAAAGTTTTAATGTATCTTGGGTAAGTAGGAGTGTCGAATTCTAAATTCGGGTCTCGTGCCCCTCTATATAAAGCGATATGGCTCTTTGTTATTTTTTTATACCAGAGTTTTTCTATTGGCTAATAAGGAGAGACATGTTTTTGTTCACAAAAACAAAATTCTAGTTTGATATGATATGTGCTAGGTTTTGGTGATGGAAGAAAACCAGAGCACCCAGAGAAAAAACAGAAGTACCTGGCAATTGACCTACATAGGGATTATTTAAATGACATCATATTAAAAATATGGTTATAAATCACAAACAAGGAAGAAAGACAGCTGGTTGACCTGAATTGATGATTTATAAAGTTGACTGCTCCTACCTTTTTCAGTACTCTGTTGATAGTGAACTGCTCCCTGTATTTGGTAAGTGATATGCAGGCAGCCCGTAATTTCTCCCTGATTGCTCGGCACATGATATACCTAGGAAAAAACAGACAATCTATTACTTTAGAAAACTTGGTTCCTTATACATTGAAAATATTTATAATACTGACCATGTATACACAACCAGAATTCACTGATGTGACAAAAATTGTTAATTTTGTTTGAATTTAAGGATGTGCACTTCTGGGAAGTCAAAAAATTCCTGTATTCAACTTTTTTTCTTATGCATTTTATGAAAAAGTAGTTAATGGCATGGTAGTGTCACCCTGGTAAAATAATAGCCGCTTCCTACTGACTCGGCTAGGGAGAATTTCTCTTCAGCTCACTTGGTAAAGCGTAAGACTAGTGAACCAAGGTCCCAGGTTTCGAATCCTAGCAGAGGCATTGAAAAAAATAATTACCTTTGTTACATTTGCGCCCACATAGGGACTTGGGAGATATGACAAAAATACTCGGCGATACTTGCAAAGGAATTGCTATGACCCCAGGAAAACTTGGGAGGAGTTCTTTCCTGGAAGGGGAGTATGTCATCCTAGTAACTTCCTAACGACTCGGCTAAGGTTAATTTCTCTTTAGCTCTTTTGGTAGAGAGTAAGACTAGTAAGCCGAGATCCCAGGTTCGACTCCTAGCAGAGGCATTGAAAAATAATGACCTCTATTACAGAAGAAAATGCAATAAAGAATTATTATGTCCCTGTGTTCGTTTTTATACTATGATCAATCAAAGATACTAATTTAACATAAATATGTGATTTTCAGTGATTTTTTTTGTTTTGACCATTTGCAGAACAAATTCATACCATATCTTCCAATTGAGTCATCAGATGTTTGCAGAATTGATAAAAACAGTTTTTATTTTAAATTGCTGAAGTTACATTGAACCTATTCTTCTAACTCAGAAAAGTTATTTATGCTACCCTAACTCCTTATTTTTTAATGAAACAATCCTTCTGCTTTTAAAGTTTTTTTAATATTTAATGGATCAAAAAGAAACATATTTCTCTTTATAAAACAGTCACAAATATTGTGGGGGTCTGTGTGTTTCTTTTTTGTCCAATAACTATTTGCACAGGATATATCATTAACAAAAATTGCTTGGATAATTAAATGAATCATAAAAACAATGTTTATTACTGAAAGACATATTAATACATGTACAACAATCTAGTACGGGACCCATATTCATGAAACCGTTCTCATGTGCTCAAGCATGGATTTTGTACTCAAGCCTCATATCTTGTTCTTTCTAATTAGAAATTAATAAAAAAAAACATTTTGTCAATGATTTGGAAATCATTCGAAGAGTCTAACAGCAAAATGCTGATTTCAATGTTAACATTTGACTATTGGATTGTTTGGTATGATTCAAGCCAGTTACAAGAATACTGTTTTGAGCACAGAATCCATGCTTGAGTATGAGAATAGTTTCATGAATACAGGCCCTGGACCAGCTATATGTCATTGTACTAGGAGGATAAGTTATAAAGTAACATCAGATAAATAGTTAAAGCTAATTCTAACAATGTATAACCTTACCACACCGTTTTCTTCTTCAGCAGTCCCATGACCACTCCCTGGCTGTCGAGGAAGTACAATACTTCTCCCTCAAACTGGTATCCTCCTCGTATCTAAACAATGAAAAATTCACTTTTATCAGGCAATAACTACACGTGGATAGATAGTGAAACCTCAAGGCTCACAATACCCCACCCCCTGCTTGAACTACATGTATGTATTTAGTTTTAAAAAAAAGTTGTTCAAAATTAAAGCCGCAAGACCGATTCTGTTAAATTATAATTTTAATCACAGCGATTCGGATGGTGATTGGACCGACAATGATGATGCTGGATCTTTTTAAGGCAAGTCCAGGAAATATATATTTATTGAACTTTCATGACAAGGATTCTCACAATAAAACCCTGATTTTGGTCACAGTGACATTGATTTATGTTGCCAATATTTGGACTTGTGCTAGAAATATGGCCGCTACAGTGATGACAAGACATACAACATTGAAATTTTACTTTTTCTTTTAGAATCAGCAACCTTGACCTTTGACTAATTACACCCTTATAGGACAAACATAACAGTAAATGTTCGGTACAGAAGTATAGCAGCTAGTGAGATGATAAGGAGTGTTATAGTAAAGTTCTGTTTTCAATTACATCACAGTGACCTGTCCAATTGATGACAATATTCAGAATTGTCTGAGTGATTTCCACTAAAAATACGAAAGTTAAAGTACAGCAAAAAGTTCCCGATATACAGTTATACCAGGTGTTAACTGTTTATGAAGCTTAACAGATGTTGATGATGATCCCTTCTTTACCTCTTTCATCCTTTTGTCAAGGTTTGGTATGGCCACTCTGTCATACTTGACCGTCTTTAGACCTAAAGCTCGCGCTATCTGTAAGAAAACACATCAAATATATACTGGTGAAGATAAGGAAACAAATGTGACATGTCAATTCCGATTTCTAAAGGGAGAAGTTCTGAAGGTTGTTACCAAAAGTATAGCTATCCGCTTTAAACCAACAACTTTTTAAAGTTTGGTGAATGTCAAATTAGAAACATGAAAGTAATATACACAAACCATTGGCCTTATTAGGAATACACCTTGAATGACCTAGACTTTTTTATGGAATGACAAAACAAATATCTTCCCAAGTGCAACAATCTCATGAAGTTTGGTGCAGATGGGGTTCAAATTATATACGTTATAGAGCAGAAATAAACTAGATGACAGGCAGACAGGAGGATCTGAAAGCAATATCATACAATGTGGAGGAGCCATATATTCTTACCTCTATGCTAATGTGGGGAGGAACAGCGGCCACATCCTCTCCGGAAGGGTCAAGGTCACAGCGTGTCCAGGTGATGAAGTGTAACTCCGGACTGAAATGATAACGTTCTACAGCTCTCAAATACATAAATGTGAAGTTAGGATAATTTTCATGAGATCAAAAGGATTTAACAACAAATAGTGATAAATGATTATTTCTTACAGAGTGCAAATTTTGCATAAAAGAATTTACAAACATTACGGATAACGGCATTTATTCCAACAATTTCCTCATAAGTGAGTTTAAATAGTCATATTTTGCCTTCATGGTTCTGCCCTTGACATTATTTGTTGTCTAAATAATAAATTATTTCATAAATTGTATAAACAGTTTAACTAAAACACAATGGAAACTCTTAAAAGAATACCAAGAAAATCTCAGATAAAAACTGCTTCACTTTTTCAAATTATCTCCCTTTGACCAGTCTATACAGCTCTCTACTTACCCAGGCAGGTGAGAAAGATCTTCCACATGTTGATGGTCAGGTGCAAGGATTTCAAACACACCTGTGTATTGACTTATAACCAGGAACTTCAACAATCTGCACGGATACAAAATCATACATACAGTTGGATGTGTTTGCAAGTCTCATTTAGGCATTTTTGGTAGAAATATAAGAAATACATATATTCATTTTTTAAATTATCATTTTTTTGCAATGTTCAAGATAAAATAAGGCAGCAGATAGAGCATTAATGGCTAATTTACCTTTCCTTTTCCTCTGATTTCATCTTATCTATGGAATCCATGATCGTGGCACACACCTCTCTGGCGATACGGAAGCGAGGCTCCACATATTTTGTTATGTCCTCTTCAATAAAAATACAGTATATGAGTTTTTTGTACAAGAAACAATAAACACGTAACAAAACAGTGATATCAGCATCAACTGACGCCACAACATTACTGTTTATCCAAAGAGAAAGTACAAATCAGATTAATTTTTGTTGTACTTTATTAATCCATTAAGATCTTAAATTTAATTCTTTTTCATAAAAAATACCCACCTTTAAACCTGATGGTCCCAAATGACCATTGTAAAAAAGTACATGAACGAAACAGCTTTTTTCCTGATTCACAGTCAGTAATTTTTACCTTTTCTCCTGAACAACATGTGAACATTTTTGGAGCCTCCACACAACACATACTCTCCACCAATCAAACGACAGCTCAAATGTGCTGCTTCTCCATTGGCTTTCCTTGTTGCTATGACAACAGATGCATCATCTAGAGACTAATATGACAAAACATCAATATTAACAAATTAATAAGGAATACATTTACTCATTTATTACAGGGGAAGCAGGGACATGAATCAGACTTTGTTTAACTTTGTGTCTTTTTTTTTTGTGCAATGCCATCATCAAAAATAAAAATATTTCCTTCTTACAATTTAACTTCCATTAAAATCTCAATATCACTGAGACTATAAAATTTCTCTTAGAATAAAATACCAAGAAGACGATATAAAATATCAATGTCAAATTCAATCACCGTAAATAATCTTATAAGCATCCTTGCCACCTGACAATTGGGGAAATTAGAATATTTGTAGAACCTTCAAAAATTCTCAAACAACATCCTGATAAATAATGGTGAAGGGATGAGAATCTTCGACACGAAAATAAAAGAATAAAGTCAAATACAGTATGGCAATAGAGAAATAAATCTGTCTGAGATTTAACAAATGGGACATATATTCATCAGAGGATAAAGGAACAATGGGTTCAATAAAGTTAATTTACAAGTCAGTATACAAGTAAAATACAAAATAATTCAATCTCAGTGATTAGCATCAATTTAAAAATACATGTGATGATATGGAAACATCAAAATTCATGTGTTCAGAAATAAAGTCAAAGTTTGTGAGGTACTTTTGTCAGAAAATGATCTGTCATATTTCTGCAGGGAGAGGTGAAGAACATACCTTCGTGAAGTACTTTTGTCAGAAAAGGATCTGTTATATTTCTGCCGGGAGGGGTGTAGAACATACCTTCGTGAAGTACTTTTGTCAGAAAAGGGTCTGTCATATTTCTGCAGGGAGAGGTGTAGAACATACCTCTGTGAAGTACTTTTGTCAGAAAAGGATCTGTTATATTTCTGCGGGGAGAGGTGTAGAACATACCTTCGTGAAGTACTTTTGTCAGAAAAGGGTCTGTCATATTTCTGCGGGGAGGGATGTAGAACATACCTTTGTGAAGTACTTTTGTCAGAAAAGGGTCTGTCATATTTCTGCGGGGAGGGGTGTAGAACATACCTTCGTGAAGTACTTTTGTCAGAAAAGGGTCAGTCATATTTCTGCGGGGAGGGGTGTAGAACATACCTTTGTGAAGTACTTTTGCCAGACAAAGGTGTCGCCGCTCTCTCGATCATCATCATCCCCAAGACCCCCTGTAAACTTCTTCATCGCCTGGAGAACACATGAAACTCCAGTCTCTTCTCCTGACGTCAAGTTAAGAAAACAGTTACCCCTTGCTACCTGCAAATGTCAGCCTGTTAATGAGCATAGTCAGTAGGGTCTGATAAAGGCAATGCATATAAACCTTCGAGATCATAAAAAATAGCAGAATATTGAAGTTGTATATGAAGACCTTTAAAGTAAAATTTGTGTATAAAACCTGGAAGATTTATAGATCTGTTTATTAAGGACCTAACACATTATAAACGATGTGTATACAGACCTGATAGATAGTCAAACTTGTACCGTATATAAGATCCTGGTAGATTGATAAACCCCTTTATAAAGACCATGTAGATAGATAAACTTGTGTATTAAGACCAAGCCGATTGTTTAACCTGTGTATTTAGACCATTAACCTGTGTATTAAGGACCTAACACATTATAAACTATGTGTATACAGACCTGATAGTCAAACTTGTACCATATATAAAATCATGGTAGATTGATAAACCCCTTGTAGATAGATAAACCTGTGTATTAAGACCAAGACGATTGTTTAACCTGTGTACTTAGACCATTAACTTGTGTATTAAGACCTAGCAGATTGTTTAACCTGTGTATTAAGACCTAGCAAATTATCAATTTATACCTGTGTATTAAGACCCAGCAGACTATTAAATCAGTGTGTATTAAGACCTAGCAGATTGTTAAACATGTTTAGATATAGTGGAGGTATTTTCTTAATATTCTGTCGCATACATTAATGGATCAACTTTAAGTTACTTTTACTTAACGTTTTATTAAGAAAAGTAAACCCTCGTACCCTGTTGACGGTTTTACACTGTGATACCCCAAGATATTTATAAAAAAAAAAATTTACAAACAACCATGTTACCTTTGATTGCCTATTGAGGCCAGTTTGAAAACTTTGTCCCTGGCGAGGACATGATTAGTTAGACCACGGAATTACGTAGATTGTTTTCTGCCAGGGACATGATTAGTTAGACCACGGAATTACGTAGATTGTTTTTAAGTGCTTACACATATGTACTTTAGTCTGGTTAAATACCTTGCGCCTAATTAGGTCGTTGTTATCGTATACCACATCATCCGGCCCTCTCGAGAATACTTTGATATCCACCAATTCGCCCTCAAAACCTTCGGGCAGCACGCCCACAGGGACACTGGCCCGCACACACCTAAGTTTGGACTCATGTCTTGCCCAAAACAACCACCTAGCAAAAATAAGTCAAACATGTACACTTCGTTTGTAATAAATATATTCAAATAAAAGTGGTGATAGATATATTCTTTTAATCTATCCATGATACGTTTCTGTGGGAAGTCTTGCCGTTCTGATTGGCGATTATAGGTCTACTGAATAAGAAATAAGGGAGGAACTTTGATCAGGTCGAGACTACTTTACAGGGCTCAGCAATACCTAGAGTTACTTCCCTTCTACTAGTCATATCCAATACAATCTATATAATAAAGCTATGCACATACTTTTCAGCTTGTTCGTGTTCCCTTTTCTTTTGTTTTAATGTCGATCTTTCAAATAGCAATTTCAGGAACGCATCGGTCTCTTTGTAACACGGATTTCCTTCCAACTTGCCCAAAAAATACTGTTGGAGATGATCGTGGTCTCCCATGCCAGGGACAGCAACTGCCATCTCCACTTCTCTTGTACAACTGCACACTTCCAGTGACCACAAAGTTACATATTACTTCAAGTGGTGAAATCCCTGATTGCACAAAAATAATACGAAGTCTAACATGCAGCTAAAGAGGAAGACGAAACCATGATTAGGCCAATGTGTGTAGGCTATGCAATACCGGAAGTGGGCGTGGTTTCTGTTAAACGTAAATAGTTACACATGTGCGAGTATTTGCCCTGTCTTGTCTCTACTTCCTGGATACCGTAAACAAAGCTGTATCTTAAGATTTATGGTGATCAGTTATACCACAAATACCAATATAACCGAATCTGAGATAAAGCTAGCTATTATGGATTTATTTTAACTTCACTACACAAATAGACACGCCATCCAATAGCTCTGCTCGTTTATGAGACATTGGAACAGTCCAAATGTTTAGACCGATATTTATTTGGTAATAATCTAATTAATATGTAACGAACATCATAATTAATATGTTGTATGATGTCTATGGCACATAACTCCTTGATCAAAGTATCATTGGAAACACTGTTCATGAAGAACGGGTGTTCACAAATATACAGGCTAGATATGTTTGTGTGAGAAATCATCCAAGAATTTCTGTTATTCGATCAGATCAATTATTGACCTTACTCATGCTTTGTCGGTGTTACCGGTTCACGTATTTACTATGCAATCGCTGCACATGTTTGTATCTGTCTACATGTATGTGCAAGCACGCGTCAAATACATGGATACCATACATGCATCGCTAGCTACCGATCACTCTTACATGCAATGTCGATGTTCCCTTGTATATTTCATAATGACATAACAGTGTGATTGTGGTTTGTGTTATCCTGTTAATAAAACATCGTCAATGATGTACCTAGCTGTTACCTTCGGTATTACGTTATGAAGAGTATAACCTGTATCACTATCTATATACCTAAACTTGACACCTAATTGATTATTACATATCGTACCAATTAAGTGTTTAACGTGTCAGAGCTCTGTATTACTAGCTACCTAGCTTTTTATCTCGTCTCTTACATAAAATCTCAGGTGTAAATAACTTAAATATCTTAAGCTGTATATATATTAATCGTTAACACGCGTGCATTCATTGATACGTATTTTTAGATTCCTATTGACGTAAAAATTTATAAATATACATGTAAATGTATAAAGGTAACTACATGTATATATATATATATATATATATATATAGGGTAGGAGGATGAATGGATCTGGTCAGTTGACAAGTAAATGCAAACAAGGAGAAATGTGCAAGACAGTGATACAAAGTGCAAATGGTTTCCCTGATTAATTAATTTCGATTAAAAGACAGTCACCGCTGTTGGTTGTGTACTTGCTTGTTATATGTTATGCTCCAAGGTAACGTAAACACCGAACTACACATGTCACTGTCAAAACAAAGAATGAGCAAAATCGATTTCCGAATAGAGTATTGTGGGGAGTTAATAAATAAAACATGAAACGGATCGTTTTCGATGTAATCAGTGTATGTTATGTGATACTGTTTTATTTTCTTATCAGTAAACATGCTAAAATACCGTCACGAAGCATACACTGTTGATAAAATGAAACATAGCGAAACTGCATTATTATTATCAGAATTGATGACACTCGATGAAAGCACTCTCTGATTTCCAATCCTGTAATGAATCAGTTGATGAGGTCGACATTGCGTGTTTTTTGTTGTTGTTTTTTAAGCGTGCTGATGGTCGACATCTGCTGCTCTCCATCCTGATACGAGCGGTAGCTGATGATGAGTGTTACTGTTGCGTGGCTACCGATCTGTTGGCCATAACAATATATTACAACGAGTTACCACAGTCGTGCTTTTATGAAGCATCGCTATCAGGAAGTGTTTCTGAAGGTTAGCATCTTACAAAAAAGTGAGACCTTTAGGAGAGGTCAAAAGCTATCGATATCTAAAGCACAAGTAGAAACATTACCGTATAATGTACGTGTAATATATGTTGTGATGATAATACTCTCATTTGTTTGTTCTTAATTTGTCTCCAACAAAAAATAAATCGTCTGAACTCACATCAGTTTGTGAAATTCGTATGGAAATGGACAGAAGGACTTTATGCGTGATATTGGGTCTCCTGAGGATTATAATGTCTTCTGAACTGAGGAAGGAGGGCTTGCAACGTGCCTTAGTTTCATGATAATTCTTATATAAAATTCATATTCAAAATTTTATTTGCACATTTGTAACTACGAAGCAGTTTGAAGGCAAAATAGAAAAACACAGTGAAATATATACAGACATGTAGAAAGATCGCAAAGTGATTGCTTATATTTCTAATATACATTAACATGAACAAAATTAACATACCTTCAAATAGAAAATTTTATTTAAACATTTTTAGCTGCAAAGTCCATACCTTATACTGTCAGCAAGCCCACTCTCCTCAGTTCTAGAGACTGTTTAATGAAAAAGCAAGAGTCCAGTATAAATTGGGAGTTGTTTGTAGATAATATTGAGGTCAAATAATTGGTATCTAAAGTAACATCATTGTGATTAGGAATGCATTTTTGGAAGTATTCTTTTCTGGCAGATTCATTTAGGGAACAGTGAAAAAAGAAGTGTACTTCATTTTCTAACACACCACATTTTTACATAGTCTCTGGTCTCTTGGTATACTTTTGAGACGCCCCATGGCTAGCTCCAGCTTGTGTTCACTTAAACGAAATTAAGTAAATATTTTCCTTAAACTACTACTGTTAATATTAAGGTTTTTCATAGGGACATACGCCATCTTTAAGTCTTTATACATGAATAATTTATTACTCTCGTTTAATTTTTTTAGTTTATTTAAGAATCTTATCTCATGTTTCTTTTTTATATTTTGCTTGGTTTAAATATTAAGTCGGTAATTACTGTATAATGCGTCAGGATCCTGTATAATGTGATGTAAATCATTGTCTAATGTCATATCATTAACATAACTAAACCAGGTATATGTTTTATTTAATAGATAAGGGTTTAAATTGTCAGAATCTTGTAGTATTCTACTTTAAAAATAGCCACATGCTTGAGTGTTTATAAGGGTCTCAATAGGATAATGTCCCAGCTCTGCTCTAGTTCTTTTGTTCACATTGTTTAGATGAAAATTGCAATAAAGTCGAATTGAAATGTATGATAAGTGCCACATCACATCATTACTTTACATACAACATCAGTAAGTACAGCATGCATCATTATTCCATGTCCTTCACGATACGCTGTGGTCAGGATATACCGTTGTTAAACAGTGCAGAGTCCCATAGCGATACCATATATAGTAAACAACTAAAGAGCTACAATGTAAAGCATTTGCAGGGGTGGGGTTAGGGGGCGTGTCAACATGTGCTTGAAGTTCAGCTTAAATTGTTATTTAGTTTAGAGAGATAATACATATACTACATGTTGTTCTGTGTATCGCGTGACAAAGTAACATTAATAAAATGTTGAATTACAGAGAAATGCTGAATAGGAACCATGTCGTGGCATGTGTACACATGCAAAGTGATCGGTATCATCCTATACAAAATATATCACAAGCACACACATGCACTTTAATGTCCGGCCACAGCATTCCTTTTCCAAGAAATATTAATCTATAAGCAGTCGTTATCTTAGAGACACTAAAGCTGTATAGCACATGATCCTAAATGTACACGCTGCTGTTTTCTCTCCCTGACAACAAAATAGCAAGTGCCGATTCACACATTACCTGTGTGTGTACACAAGTGGTGCTGTAGTGAAGACTGAACTCCTGTGTGTAATAGTCGTGTCTTTACAGGAACGTGCTACCGGACAATTAAGATTGGGAGACGATCAATACATTACTACAGTCAGTCAACGGTGTTACTGTTCCCCTATAAACCACCTAATACAGACCACTTCTGTTTTCTAATTGTCACACTGCCAGATTTCCAATTTTCCTGATGGATAATGCTATATATTTATTTTCAGACCCACTGAATCATATAAATATTAATTTAACAAAATATCCATACCTTATGTCAAATGTCTACCGTTCATGTTGCAGTCATACTGCTCTTTCAGAATGAGATTATAAAGATGAGTTCCAAGTGCCAATATCTAGCATTATTTTATCCTTTGAAATAAAGAAAATCGTTTTTGCTTTTTCAGTATCAAAATAGTATATATTAATATCATTAAAATCAATTTGAATGCAGAAATTTCAGAATGATAAATGTAATATTTGTTGTGTGTACTTGATGTAATTAGACACATGTAGTTGTACATTGTTAGTAACTGTCGTGGCTAGCACAGGGCTGTTTAGTGTGCTATGGTTGTCCAGACTCTGGATTCTGTTTCCACTTAAAGAAATTGCACGGCCCAGTACACCAGAATGGATTTTACTGGTAATTGTGATATTATCGCATTTTCACTGTAGCTTTGTCAATTATTAATTAGATCACGGTCAACCCAAAACAAGATGAAGAGCAAGATATTGATACTAAAAATACAGAAATAGACTTGTCGGTCTATACTGTCCAATGTTTAACTTAGCTGTCGTAGTTAACTGTCACTGTAGCCCCAAGATATAGTTTGTACACAAGTAAACACATGGGGACCTCCATCACATTAGACTTTAATCAGTCGATCCCTCATTTACTAATAAACTTTGAAATGTTTGACCCCTCCTTCACCTATGAACGAATTACTGTTAGATGCATAGTGCTGAAGGCAATACATATTACTACCTGTCCTCAAGTTTACCTTTGTTTGTGAAATATGAACACCGCTTTACCCCTGGCCATGAAGGTGTGCAACAACAGTTTGTAGCCTGATGCTCAATGTGTATTATAGTTGAAGTTCTATTACAATATCACTATCAGTAGCCATTCAGAAGCATTTGATTACATATTGTGGTCATGAAAGTAGAAAACAGCGTCTGAAGTACAAAACATTTCAATCTCTAAAATGGTAATTTAATACTAAATATTTATGTCTTTTAATTATGCTGACTTCCAAAAATTTCAATACACGGCTTTAATCACAAATCATCAAGCGTGAATATCTGATATGATTACAACATTGATGGGTGGGGGGTAACCCTGTCTCCATAGTAAAAAGCTTTGGATTAAATGTTATATTAGTTTTTTATCCTAGATATGTAAATGCATAAAAAAAAATTGAACCATCCAAATGGCAAGTGTTTTCGGAGGAAACAGATCAAAAATAGTTAAGTCTAAGAAAGCTACATACAATGTTAGAACGGAGAACCTAATGGCAAGGCATCATTATCATACTCATTAAAACTTTCTTCTGTCCAGGAGCTGGAGAAACAGGAAATTCTATACTAAGTGAACCAACAATACTGACAAGTCATGTTCCTCAGGTTTAGATTTTCATTATTAAATGAAACATTTCTATTCACTCAGAGGGCTGTCTATCTGATAATGTAGCTGCCTCCAGTATGCTACACTATTCCCCAGTAGGACTTATCAGAGACACAGGAAGCCGAGAATCAATTCAGATAATTCAGACAATATTATTAAGACATTTTAGGGGTTCAGATAGAAAACAAAAGACTATCCTGATGGTGGCATTTCTAAACCAAGTTGATTTACACCACCAAAACATTTATCAATACTCTGTAGACATCAGGTCGGATCAAAATCTGTATCCTGTACTGTAGTTCATTCGTTCAGATTATATTATACTTGGTCTGATACTTCTGTTTCAGTAACAGTCTTCACCATTGGGTTACAAAAGTGATCATCTGTGTATGACGATGAAATTCAATTTCAATAATAATTTTTGTTCAAAAATTCTCAATCAAATGTACCATTATTTTGTGAAACAGATGATGAATCACTCATATATGTCTATGATGAATCGCTCATATATGTCTATGATGAATGAATTATTTTTAATGGTATAGCTACCATCTAGATCTGATTGACCAGAATAGACTGCTATCTGTTTTGAACATGTTTAGTTTAGGAATTTTAGGGTCTACAAGATAATGTTTTCTTGTAGATTTGTAGCCGTACATCATATGTACTTGTATTTTTTACAGCGAAAATTTATTTTAACCTTCCAAGTAATTCTTTGCATTTAGATTTTTCTGCATCCCTCTCATTTGAGGTCATATAACAGATTTGAAAACAGGTTATAGTTTTGGATTTTACAGCACAAGCACTTGCAACCAATAAACTATATCAAGACTATTTAGTTTTTGAAATCTGATGCTTAACTGAAAACCTATTCGCCTTACATCACTTATTTTGCATTTTTTTTCACATTTTTTTTCGTTTCACAAAAATGATTTATCTGTAGGAAGAAAAAGACCCAAATATTTAGGAAAGGTGCTCGAAACTGTAAAAGCCAAACCGAGCCTGTCATTGAAAAACAACAAATATAAATTAGTATTTGGCATGTATGTACATCAATATACAATTTATTTACTATGGAAGTATTTACAAATTGATCATTATGTGTGTAGTAACATTTGGAATATTACCATGACTGAACTGTAATGAGATTTTTCTGTGATGAAAAGTTGGGACATACGTTAAACAAGTAATTTAGTATATATTGCAACATATCCCCAACTTGACTGAATACAAGACACCTAGAAAAATTCCTAGTTATCTTTATTCCAACAATTATCAAAATTCTTCTGGCAGAAGTCCACTTTTTCAGAATTCAGCATTAAGGTTTGCCATTCCCCGATTAACTAAAGTCATTTGCCAAAAGCATTCCTGAGATTGTGTTTTCATCTTGTGGAGAAAAGGCTTATTAAATTTAAATGTTTAGTGGCTGGTCAGTGTCTTCAGTGGCACTCATCAACGGGCAGGTACATGGAAATTGTTGTAAAATGAACACTTTAGCAATGGCCATGGCATTTGTATTTGGTCAGAGTTAACAGGACAGCACTATGTTCTGGTAGCATCTTCCCATCCTTTTCCATACTCAATATCTTTGACTGTAACACTGCAGGAATTACAAGTGCTCAATGACATTTGACTTGAGCCATTCCTGGTGATCCTACTGCCCGACAAATTTCCTCTTCTAATTTCTTTTCACATTGTTCTTCTTCTTGAGTAGCATTTTTGAAATTTGTTGCATATATATATATATACATTGTCAATGTTTAATGTCAGAATGATGTTATTTCGCTCCCTTAGATTGTACAGGTAAGTATAGTTTGAATTCTGCTGGTAATTCATCTTCTGAATAAAGTCTGTCTGAGAAGTACACACGACGGATTCTGCAGTTTGCATGAATCTGAAAATACAAGAAAGAAAGCAATAATTAGTGGTCATGTGTAATATTTCTAACATTTGTATAATTGTCCTCCATAAACTTAAAATACTTAAGGTGTTTATGTACCCAGTTATCAGTCATTTATGCTTCAGATTTATCACATTATTTTTAAGCGACAAATATCTCAGTGTTAATAACTCACCTGAACCCTAAGTGTTTCAATGTAATTTGTTCCATAAGCTCTTCGTGTGAAATCTGACAAGTTGAACTGAATCTGATTCCACCCATCATCCAATCTCATTGGCATGGTACAGATGAAGGGCTTCACTCTCGTCGTGCTCTGGTAGTTACTTGCTCTAAACCGCCTCCGTACATTTTTGTCATCTAGAACCTGAAATTATAAAAGAAACCTCATTTTGAATTTGTACAGATTATATGATTAAACCATAAGAAACAAAATAAAATAAAAATCACATATTTCATATATGTTTATTTTCATGAAATTTATTTTTGTCAGCTCAAGATGTTATGCAGTTCAAATTCTTTGAAATATATTTAAGCAGAATCTCAACCAAACTTTGCTGAACTTCAACACCTTGATTTATTTAGCATTATGCTTGCAATTATAACGCACCTGTACTTCAAATGTGAAATATTTCTTGAGATTTTTGATGATCATGACCAAGAATGGGAGTTTGATACCCAGTGTTTTCTTTGGATCTGCTGGACATGTGATGTATGTTGTGCTGTAAAAGATGAAAAAAAAGTAATGAATATCACTAAATCCAGCAGCAATATCAACAATGAACAATTTGTACATTACAGAAATAAAAATAACCCATTTTTTTTATCAAACAAGATTCCTACTATCAAGTTAAAAAAGTCAGTTAGTTTTGAGAGAAAACAAATGGGTTACAACAATGTAGTAGTAAAAGCAGCTTTCAAAATATTGTCAATTGTACTTTAATTTTAAATTGGTCAAATTATTTTAGAAATCAAAAATATTAATAAAACAAGTTAAAAACGATAACTTACTGCAACGAAGTGTTGTCTAAATTTAAATCGAGTAAATGACATAATTTTCTAACATCTTACACTAGTACAGGGGAGATCACTCGTCAGCGTTAACATTTCAATATTTACACAAAGAAGAAAAACTCACCTAACATTTGTACCAACAATTTCTAGAACTAGAGACTGGATGTCGTTGTCTGTGATACGTTTTATGTGACCATTTCGCACCTGAAATCAAGAAATATACAATTTTAAGCACAATGGTTTACTTAGTCGAAAACCTGCGGAACAAAAAATTGCAAATGGCGGATCACATCTTAGCAACGGTAACATTACGTACACTCCATCAGTTAAATGGTACAGAACTTGAAATTTAACGCGATTTTCATAATGACAACTTACAAAATGTTTTGATGTTTGCCAGATAATGCACAAACAGATATATTTTCGACTAAAAATATACAGCTGCTGATGTAGCACACACGTGTGTACAGTAAACATGCCGGAAAGAATGAGAGGATTTATCATCATAATTTAATCTTTGTTTACAATTATATATTTTCCTATCATCCAAAGCAATTATTTATACGTGTAATACAATTTATTAGTGATGAAACTTGAAATGTTGTACATGAAACCATACACATTGATATAATAATGGCAATATACACAAGAAAAACATTGTGACTGTCACTTCCGTTTTAGTCATCTCGCATCTTTTTCAATAAAACATCAGTTGAAATGCCATTTTACAACAAATACTATGTTACTAAACATGTTAGCTACATTGAGGTTCAATATCAACAGTTAATTTTAAACATTAAGTAACTAAATATAAACTAAGAAGCACCCGATGCACTTGTTGCCAACCATGTCACTATGGCGATCGACTGATAACTGTCTTCCTACACATAGATAATGTTCTCTTACCTTTTTGTCCCAAATCTGTAAGGGTTTACTTCCAATACTGTATAGTATTGATAAGAACCCACTCTGAAATGTGTTCTTGAACATTTTTAAAAAGTGAAATTAACACTAAGATATATCAAAACAGTACTTCTGGACCGCCGACTATCATAGGTCCTGCTCCCTCGATGTTCAGGTTGTCAAGTGAAGGATAGACTGTGTGTAGCTAGACTTAGCAAGTTGTCAGGGACGGTAAGAAGGCCGCGCATGGATATAGTTGCTACGCTAGTATCCAAGGCACTACACGGCTTTTTGTGACCAAACTCAATCAAAACATTAATAATGGTAGGAAATTTACATATTATTTAGATAAATATCTATTATACTATATCTATTTTCGATTTTAATAATGATTATAGCAAATAACTCCAGCACTACATAAAAGCACTAATATCCGGTAATGGCTGTAATTTGACCTTCCGGTCAAACACTACTATACTATATTAGGAATTTGGGAGAACTTGACAGTCTGTACTTCACCGTTAGGGACAGCACGTCGTGCTCGGCTTATATACATTTTGTTTTCATTAGTTCTCAATAACCATGTACGAGTTATCTTGCTTATGTTCTCTATGTTTAATATAATCACAAATTATAACAAACATGTACATTTTTTAAACTACTGTATAGTACAGTATCGGAGGATACAGAAAACATTTGTATACCCGCCTACTGTAGTGTCAGATTTTATCTAAAAGTCGTTATTAGGAAGCTTAGAATAATTTTGGTATGAACCATAATAAGGTTCAACAGTTATGTGATTATTTTAGTGTGAAATATAATCTTTAGCTACCAAAGAAAAATAAAATAGCTCACAAGCGAAACATTTTATTATTTGCTTAATTTCAATTCTGTTTTTTGATTGGTTTTCTGTTACTCTGTCGTTTAATTATGACATATTTTTCATTGAAACATCGTTGGTTGAATTTTGTGTGTTTGTTATATGTACATTGATTGGTATATAATAAAAAGGTTAAAAGCAAAATGTATGTTTCCGGTTTCCCTACCGACCCTAGATTTTTGTGCCTAATTAGTGACCTATTTTTGTATTGGCATTTAGTGATAAGCACTATAAAAGTCAGAAATCCTGTTTATTTTTTCTTATTCTGTTATTCTGGGAGCCTAGCTTCAGAATGGCAATTTCCGTTACCTCGTGTTGCCTCCTTAAAACAATCAAATTACCCGTCGTAACTCCAGAAAATGATCTTCCATTGCATTTTTAATAACAAGAATTGTCACAATTTTATAATTTATTTGATCCTATTATTTCTTCTCAATAACAATTATGTTATGTCAATGATGAAAACAAAGTTCGACCTTCAATACAGTCCGATCCCGATACCCACAAAGTCCATATAAAACGACACATCCTGTTACAAACATTTACTGGCTACCGTTTTAACTCTCTTTTACTACGGGCGTGAAGAAAAGTAAGACAGCTAAAATAAAAAGTTTGAGTAGTAAGTTGTACATTTATACAAGAAAACAATTGATATCAAAGCGGTTATTGTCCTTCTCATGTAAAACCGCAAATAAACTTGCATAAATTTACATAATAATGTTGTTATGATAACTGATATCGACTCCTATAAACACCATGGAATAGGTGATATCACTAAATAGTTATAGTGATATCACAAAATAAACCGGTCAGTGTTATCACTATGGCAGATGACCCAATACCTTTTCACGGGAGAATCGAGCCCCGGCCAATTTTGGCCAAGACGTGCACTGTGGCAATAATCAATGTAAAGTACTTGTTAAGAAACAGCGGATCTAAGTAATTCTTTCTTATTCCTATGGAATACTTCCAATACTTTTCTTTAAAATAGAGCTGTTATTACTAAAATGTCGTCTTTCTTGGGTTAAATAGAGAACGGTTAGCTTTTTTTATTATATATGGAAATGTACACTTACCCTGGATTACATACCTGAATGTCGGTCTTGTATTGAACATAGAGCTGTTATTAGCAAATGTCGTCTTTCTTGGGTTGAACAGAGAACGGTTAGCTTTTTATAGATATAACTGCTAACATCCTATACAGACAACAGGGACTGAGAATTTGTTACAGCTATATTTGGACCCAAATTAAGGTGTTCATGGAAAATTTTAATGTTTAAGGGGTTTAGATCGACTTTCGGTAAAAATAACAACCCCAATTAATCATTGGGAGTGCCATTTAGGTCCCTATATATGATCATTGGGGGTGTCATTTTTACCGAAAGTCGATCTAAACCCCTAAAACTTGTAATACTGATCTGAACACTTGAGTTTAGGTCCAAATATAACTGTATCAAATTCTCAGGGTCCTGCGATACAGACCTGAACATCTGTCGTGGATTGAACAACGACCAGTAAGTGTATATCTTTGGTCGGACAGAAAATTTGGGTACAACCTAATCTTTGGCGGAATTTACACAACCTCCAGGGATTTCAGTTGACCATTGACATGTATTAACTTCAGAAATCAAATAATATTTTCTTTGAAATTTAAAGGGCCACCTTGAAATTGATAAATGTCAATGGTCAACATAAAACACACATAAAAAGGCCTGTCATTTCCATCCGAAGAGCCACTGCTCATACATACAATGGTATACTGAATGCCCCGAAATGCCCTCCTTTGTCTATTTTCGAGCATCAGAATGCCCGTCTGTCCTTGAAACTACTTGTACTCGCAAATATCTGTCCGTCCGTCTTTGGTGACTTGGAATGCTACCTTACTGAAACATATGCTGAGGGCACAGGTAGCCGTACTCACCCGACGTGAACCTTTAGGGGCACTGCCCATAAACTCGTGTCTATCCTTGGTGGAAATGGACACACCCAAACATGCGTATCTTTTGGTGGAAATACCGTACCCTTGAAGTTGCATGTACTCTCAAATGTCCGTCCATCTACTTTGGTGGAGCTACACTGTACAAATATTTTATATAATATATAAGATATCTTATATCTTTTCTGAGATATCTGATATAATATATAAGATATCTTATAAAGAAAAATATATAAGATATAAAGTGTATAAGCCAAGTTGTCATTTATTCATGGAGCAATGTTGATCCAGTACTTAACCAACTTATGTAAGATATCTTATATTATTTGGTTTAGAACTGGATCAACATTGCTTCATGAATAAATGACAACTTGGCTTGCCATAACTGACCTCTAAGAAATTGAGATTCACTTCCTAAGAAGAATGTCAACTTCAGAAAGCATGTGCTCTACACAGCGTGCGACTCCGACGATGCAGTTCTTTCATTCAACATCATCTATTTCCATCACAATTATACTACCTAAGAGAAACGGGTACTGATCTTCTCCTTCCAATAAATAAAATTTAACATAATCAATCACCTTTAGCGTTCCCTACTGCTGAATAAAGATGGACATTGTATAAGGAAGTGCTTTGCTATGCTGTCTGTTGCTGTTGCACAATTTACAAACTTAATAATTCCGCTACAAGTGTCCATATCAGTTTAGGATATTTCAAGCTTAATTCCCACAGAGGGTTGTCGCCCATATACGGATGTATGCACTTATAATGACTTAGTAGCACATTGTGTTCACAATCACAACACCATTCATTGAAATAAAACTGTTCAGTAACGTTTTTGACAAAGAGCTTCCATTTAAAGAACGAGTGTATTCCAAATTTTGACATTGTGTCTGATATATCCTTAATAAAAATGGCACTACAGAAAAAGGTACTTTCCAAATACAAAGTTGCATACTCGGATAAGAAATAGGCTTTTCCAAACGAAATCAGTACTGGCATTGCATAACTTATTCCAAACGAATAATTTGCGTTTTTCGACTTCACACCAAACATCCGGAAGTCAAAGAGCCCTTGGTGTTATTGCTGGTGATGATGTTTTTTTTCAAAACCCCGACATCTCCTAGCTCGCTATTGGATGACTTGGTTGGATCTGCCAATAACTCATATCCATACAAAATAGCTGGAAGGACAACCGATTTAATAATGCGTACACTTTTAATGGATTTATTCCGTTCTGGTGTATGCCAACACTGATAAGCCGTTAACGGTTCTACGTCCTTTTCCACAAGAACTAACGATGTGCATATCGGGTTTAAGGTTATAACATAATGTTATTCCAGATTACACTTTTGATGTTGTCCATGTAATCGGTGTATTTCCTAAAGAACAGGAAGTCTTTAATTCATTTTTCGGTCGTTTCCGATTTGTAAATTGTATTAATAAAGATTTCGCACAATTATAATTAAGTCTCCATAGCTTTGCATATGTGTGGACAATGCCTAACTGCATCTGTAGATTTCTGATCGACGAAGCTAAAAGTGAAGTTTCATCTGCTAGGAAAACACGGCATGTGGAAGTTTTGGACATCTAGTCCAAGATCTGCTTCTATATATATGCTAATTGTATTGACTGTAAAATTATATATTTATGTACTGTAAAGCGCTTTAGAGTGGCTTATGTTAGCTAGATAGGGCGCTATATCAAATGTTGTATATTATTATTCTTTCAGCCTAACTGCCAAATCATCAATCATAATGAGGAAGGGCCAATCAGAGAGTCCTCCCTTAACCGACCCCTTGCTCTATAGGGTACGCATCGCTCGTTTCCCCATCATAAAGAACACATGCCGTCAGTCACTCACACCAACAAACGAGTTATGAAGAATCCGCCAGAATTTACCGTTGATGCCTAACCGATAAACCTTCAATAGCAACCCCTGTATCCAAACACTGTTATAAAGGCTTTTGCTTGTCGAGAAACGCTGCAAAGACTTTTGAATTTCGCTCCAGAGAGTGACAAATTGATTCTTTTAAGGTAAATGCGGCTGTAATGCTGCCACATTGTGGTCGAAATCCCTGTTGCAACTTGTGTGGAAATCCAATTTTTGAACAATGTTTTGATATTCGCCGATACATGATTTTTTCAAATAGTTTTTATAGTACTGATGTTAACGTAATGTCCCTGTTATTATACATGTCAAGACGATCTTTCTTCTCGCCTTTAAACAAAGTGATAACGATTCCTTTTTTTAAATGCTTTTGATAGTCTTCCTGATCAATAATAATGTTAAATAACACGACTAGCATTTTCCTCAGCATAGTCCCACCATAACGAATATGTTCCACAATAATATCATCATGTCCACCCGCTTTCCCATTTTTCATATCTCCAATTGCTTTCGTTAGCTGATCAAATCCAATGTGTTTCTTGCATATATAATTCTGGTTATTGAAACTGTTCATATACATTCGTCCGATGTTACGAACATAAACGTAATGGTACATCACATTTAAGTAGCCCAGAAAATAACAAGAGGCACAGAGGGCCTGTATCGCTCACCTTTTTCTTATGTTACATGCAACTGACATATAGGCAACTTAAGACCAAATTTGGTAACTAGAACACAAGACATCTTAACATCTCTTAAACGGTTCTTAGGATATTGTTGTTTGAAACTTGAAATTTCAATTTTAAAGCTTTAACCCTTATTGACATTTGACTCCCGACTTGCACTTAAAGTTGACCTTTGACCTCATTACTGTAATAAAGAAAACAATGCACACAGCTGGTTTACATAACATACCCAAGTATCATGACTCTAGTCCAAATGGTTCTTAGGATATTGTTGTTTGAAGTTTTTAACATATTTTACCCCAGTGACCTTGAAAGTAGGTCAAGGTCGTTTTAATAAGGAAACTTTGTAGTACTCCACCCCAGGTACCTACTGCCCAAATATCATGACCCTGGGCCTAATGGAACTTGAGAAGATTGTTAAAGCCTTTGACCCATGTTGACATTTGACTCCCGACTAGCATTTAAATTTGACCTTTGACCTCATAACTGTAACAGAGAAAAATATTCGCACTGCTGGTCTACATAACATACCAAAGTATCATGACTCTAGTTCAAATGGTTCTTAGGATATTGTTGTTTGCAATTTTTAACATATTTGACCCCTGTGACCTTTAAAGCAGGTCTAGGTATTTTTAATGAGGAAACTACATAGCACTACATCCGTGGTACTTACTGGCCAAATATCATGACCCTGGGCCTTATGGAACTTGAGAAGAATATTGTTAAAGCTTTAAACCAAAGTTGACATTTGACCCCTGACTAGCATTTAAAGTTGACCTTTGACCTAATAACTGTAATTGAAAAAAATATTCGCACTGCTGGTCTTCATAACATACCCAAGTATCATGACTGTAGTTCAAACGGTTCTTAGGATATTGTTGTTTGAAATCTTTCACATATTTGACCGCTGTGACCTTGAAAGTAGGTCAAGGTCATTTTAATGAAAAACTTTATAGCACTACATACCAGGTACCTACTGGCCAAATATCATGAACCTAGGTCATACAGTTCTTCAGAAGAAGTTGTTTAAAAGAAAAAGTTGACGGACGCAGCAGTACGGCATAAGCTCACTTTGGGCCAGGTGAGCTAAACAAGAGGCCCATGGGCCTAAACGGTCACCTGAGTCTACAGTATTTATTTTTGTTGTTGAAATATGTACCAATTTGAGTAAAAAATAGTATAATGTTAACTTAACTTTGTCAGGACCATGAGCTGATCATTCCTAGACCAATTTTAAGTGAGATCGGCCTATTAGAACTTAGTAGCAAAATAGCGGCCATGGCAGCCAAATTGTATTTCTGATTGACCCGAAAAATAACAACACTTTGTCAGGACCATGAGGCGATCATTCCTACCAACTTTCAGTTTAATCGGCCCAGCAGAACTTGACTTTAAGTTTGAAATGTAAAATGTTAACGGACGACAGACGAAAACGGATAGCAATAGGTCACTTGAGCTAAAGCTCAGGTGACCTAAAAACTAACCCTACTTTAGTAGTTAACTTTTCAATGTTTCGGTTTAATCAAGTTTTTAAATATTTGAAATAAAATATTTTCAGCTGTTAGTTTTAATCTGTAAAAGGGTGTAGAAGTAATTTTAAGTCAATAGATGTTCAAGTTTATATAAACCTCGGAATATAGGTTTGCTTTGTGTTTTACGTCCAATTAACAGCTATGGTCATTTAAGGTTGTGCAAGGTTTTGGTTGTGAAGGAAAACCTGAGTGACCGGAGACGAAACCACCGACCTGCGACCAATCTTCTCCAAGAAAGTTTTATGCAAAATTTATAATAATTAATGACAGACTTTTGTTTATCTCAAGAATATTTATTGCATAAACTCAAAGCCCTTTTTTCAATAGCATTAAGCCAGATTTCTGGTCGAAAGTTCAATGTATTTTGTGTTCAAACTGAGCTTGTGTTATCTCGATACATGAACAACACAGCTCCATACAGACCTGTATTCGTTTTTCCGTCTCCTACAATAAACATCCTTACACCTTTCAGTCTTTCACACAAAACTATTATGTCGTTATCTTTTTTATCACTCAAAAGAAAATAATGAGCCATAACCCACCTTCAGGAGAGCTCACACGCTATCATTCAAACCAACCGGTCACAATTATACCAGTTCCATTTTAAATTTTAAGACATAACAAATTTAAAACGTAGCATTTCGTATGATTTTGAAGTTTCAAGTAAACACAAAGTGTATGCAGTTAGATATAATTGTAAGCCAAATGTACCTCAACTACTGGTTATATCATCTTCATACTATCAACCCTTTCACCCCCATGTAACTTCAGTAGACTCGACTATGCATTGATCTTGGCGAGTCCATTATGGTCTACAGTGGTGAAAGGGTTACTGTCCTATGTGTTGTCACCTGCTGCACACACGAAACAAGAAGTTGATACCCATGTTGAAAAAATGTGTTTGAATAAAACCTGAAACCATGACATCGATAAAAAGAGATCTAAAATGAGATCGATTCTTTGACAGCAAATATCAGTCTCTGAAATCAAATTTTATCAAAATAGTTTTAAATGATCTAATCCGGACAAGGTGTCACTGAAAACTTTGCACTCATTTGACCCTTCCGACTAGAGGTGAAGGTCGGAGACCTTATTGCAGTGTGCTGCACTTTCTGAGGGTGATTCTTCAATGTTTAAAAGGTAAGGCCAGGACAAAATTTATTAGCAGACCCAGACCAGGCACAATACCAATACAATGTCTTCATTCAAAAGGAGACCTAGTGGCTTTAACAGTTTTCTATGATGAAACTGTTTTTAGAAGAAAGTTATGGGATTAAGATACCTCATTTGATTATGATTGGTGACATATTAATTTTGCTCCGTTAAATTCACAAAATACATTTCCATAAGTCATTGACTTTTGAAAATTAATTTTCAATAAATAAGGGAGATAAGTATTGTAACAAACCATCATTAATTGAGGAATCTTACATAACTGTAATGCGACAAGTAATCTCTTGTATCTTGCCTGCGACTGTATATTTAAAAGACAAAACCAACCCAGATTTCAGAATTTTATTTTCTAAAATTCTTTGCAGATCAATGAAATAATATACTGTAACGAATGTTTCTCTAATTTACCAAAAAATGCCAGAGAAACTTATACTGGTTCTATCTGATTGAGCTCTCCCCTTTCATCTTTTCCTCCAAATTAGGCCATGCTTAATTGCAGTTATTCAGGAAAACGGAAACTTATTTCATATGAAGTTGTGACACCACCTCCCCCACCCCCCTTATGTTTACAAAATTTGGAGGAAAATATAAATAAAATATCAGATATCAATATCACCTTACTCTTCACATTTTTAAAGGTGTTTCTTGGTCATCCACATGCCTGTAAAACTATCCAGACCACATGAACCTGTGATGACCACATCCTCACTTTGGCTTCTGAATCAGGGGAGCCAACTCAAGATTGGCTTGATGTACAGCTTCAAGAACTAAAGGTTATAACAAATACCTCTGTGCATCTCAATACTCAATACAGCACTACAATATATTTCACACAGCATTTGCATAATAATGTGTCTTTTTATGAATACGACTTTCGTGCTCTGCTTGATTGAGAATTTAACACCAGAACCAACTTCATATCTGAAACTACTTTAAACTGCATTGTTAGAAAGTTGTGTTCAAAAATATAAAACCAGACTGATATTCATAGTTATTCCTTAGCTTACTTACTTTTCCGAGTTAAAAATACTTCCAACATGTTGCATTAATTCCTGCAGCATTATTCGACTCATAAATTCAAATTTTTAATAAAAAAAATTCATGCAATTGTTCATGTGGTTATTGTCAGCTAAATTTTCAATTTTAATGTAAATGATTTGTTACAGAAGACTGTCCTTGCCTTACTCTAGGATTGCACCAATTCATCGACCAAAGTATTGGTTAGAGACCGAGATTGTGCTAAATAATATTGACCAGATCAATTTTGTACTACGTAACATTTATCAGACTGGGTTTTTACAACAAAATAATGACCAGATTGGGTTTTCACTATTAAATATTTGGAAGGTATCCAGGTTTATCTCGGGGCGTGGTATATCTACTGACCAGACTTGAGTTTGTGTACTAAACCTTTACAGCATCAGACAAGGTAAGCCTAGTACGAGAAGAAGTGCAACCACCTTAATCCAAGCATTGATGACCCATAGATCTTACTTAATTTTCAAGTGAAAAGTCCAAGCCTCCGACACTAAATGGATCCAACTTTTTTATATATCAAATTGTCTGGACTAATGAGGTTCCACTGTATACAAAAAATAAAATAAATGTATCTTGATAAAAGAGGTTCCACTGCACACATGGATCAAATTGTCTGGACTAAGGAGATTTCACTATACATGGACTCCTCGAGTTACAAGGTTTTATGTAGACAGAAACCAGAGTTAATGAACTACTGAGGTTGCATTGGTCACACAAACCTAAATACCTGGTCAGATGAAGTTCAATGGCAGTTTCTGGAACTTCTAGTATGAGAAATATATTGGTACCCTTATAATCATTATGTTAATACAAATATCAAGTTAGTCACTTACATTTTACAATATCTTAAACTTCAACATACAAAAAAGAATTACGTTTTCTTGAAAAATTACCTCAAATATTTATTCACAATATAAGGCTACCAACTCTTGTCTACCAGAAACCTTAATGATAAATTGTTCATAATAATGTCATCCCATTTCTGCCTTCTAAAAAATGAAACATAAACCGCACATTTTCTTCCAACACTTTTTGGCATATAAAGCACACATTCATTCATAAGATAATAGTATCACGTAAAAATCTTGGGTTGTCAATGCCCTCCTCCTGTCATACTTTCAACACACTAGCAGAATTAAGAGAACATGATACAATCTCCCATGACTGTGGTCTGTTGAGAATACAAGGTTTACATTAGCAGATATGAAAGTGATATGAACCGACAGGATAGTTTGACCCAGTTATTTAACAAATGATCGAAGCTCTGTTGTTCAAAGCCTAATTTCCTTTAAACTCAATCACATCTAACGTCACATTTGAACACTTCCAAATCAAAGACTGGGCAAGTCCAGTTCAAATATGTAGGGGTGAATGAGTTAAAGACTTAAGTGACAGTTAACCCAAATTTTTAAAATGTGACTTAAGAACCATGTAAAACTTCACAAATATTTTGTGTTAAGTGTCAAAATATAATATTATTAAATCATTATAAAGAAAACTTAAGTTTTGAATTTCACTGTTTTTGAAAATATATATTAATTTAAATTTTGCGTCAAGTTACTGGTACGATGATCAGACTTTGAACAACTGATCTCAGGTATTACACATTAAGGAAACATCCATCTTGTACAGCCTACACAGACTAAACATGATTCATCTTGTCGTTATCAATATTTAACAAAGTATTATGCTGTTAAACATAAATTTTTTGGGACACACCATTTTTAGTGATACATGTAATGATTTATATCTGATCTGCTATTGCAACTGAAAATAATGGTTGCTGAAACTGGAAAAAATTGATGCTCAAAAATGTCTTCATCTGCATCTTGGGTATAACTGGGTTTTGCTATCTTCGAAACTTGAGACAATCATGAAAATATATTATACTGCTTGACATCAGTTTATACAAATAACAATATGTTCGTTTTATTAAAAACTTGTCACCAAATATCTTGTTACAAGTATATCAGTGTATTACATTACAACTTTTTTCCAATTATTTGTATAAATTGAATCACATTACAATACATTGTACACATCACTTATAAATAAATAAATGCCAGTGAATGACCACGGTGAGATAGAGACAATAAGGGTATATCTCCACTGCTTTAGGTAATAGGTATTATAATTGTTAAATCCCCCCATCCCCTTAAATGTTCATATACACTAAATAACACATCTGTAGCACAAAGAGTTAGACACCAAATACTGCATTAATAGACATTTACTCTGTTAGTCACCTAGCCTCTATGTAATTAAACTGCCAAGTCATGTACCTGGTGAGGAATATGTCATCCCCCTCAACACATCATCCTAGTCTCTGTCCCCACACTGCCTAGTACATGAACCAGGGCACTAAAAATTGCAAATGTTTGTAATGTATACTATATATACTGTAAATGAGAGGAAATCTGAACATTTCACTCACATTCAGAAGTCAATATCACTAATAGCGGTACAGCCAATACACCCAAGTAACATGATAGTCACAAAATGTACGGACTACATTTCATCATCATTATAAACTACATCACAATGGAACATGTTTTGACTTTCAGACCAGGTACTATAATAATATTTATCGTCATTAATGTACTGATTGGGCCCTCTTTGATACTAAAATCTTCCACATAGCACATTCACTTGGTCACAAATGTTCACATTCTGATCTGGATGTGCCCACACAGACAGACCGACTAGCCGACAGATTTGATCTGACAGCGGACAGACAGGCAGGCAGGCATTCAGGCAGACAGACAGGCAGGCAATGTGACGTTTGCTGGCCCCCTATGACTGGGCTGTAGCCGCAGCACTGTTGGGGAGGGGCGACATACTAGGGGTCATGACAGGAGAGCTGGACACTGCCACGGAGCTGTTCACCGCGGGAGGAGGAGCACCTGTGGTGGGCAGAAAGAAAGAAAAGTTCATGTCACTCAAAATGCTCCTCACATCTACTCAAGCTTAATTTAGCCAAAATGATGTAAAATGTTTGCATGAATGAAGTTTTTATAGTACTTCTCGGACAATTTTCATTCAGTAGCATTTAATTTCTATGTCTACTGACAATGCATTCCTAGATTTTTGTATATAATGGTACCAAATCAGAATTAAAACTGAATTCCATAAGCACCTGGTGGTGTTTTTTCTGCTGCCAACATCAATTATCTGAGAATCTGCCTCAAACAGCTGTCCATTAGTCAACAATCTGAGGCAGAATGATGTGTACACACTTGCAGCTCAGGAAGAAAACAATACCAGGAGCAGTGCCTTCCAACTGCTGCACAATAGTTTGTCCGTTTTGTTTCCAAATACATTTATTTCATTTACCTTCAGTATGAGGTAAAATTAATCAAAATTTTCCAATCACTTTAATGCAAAGATTTTACTTCATTTATACAAGGATCATTCGCAAGCATTATTGAAGAAGAGTAGATTTCTGAATAACAGATATTTGAAAAAGAAATATTAATATATTGCAAGGCAGTATGATATATAATAGACTGAAACATTTGCCATACAAATTGTATTAGGTATAGTTTGAAATAAAGTTATCTAAAATATCGAGCATAAAAAATATAATACCAATGCCCTACATACAGCTGAAAATATAGAAAGACTCCTCTCATTGGCAAACTTGTTTAGCATGCAAGTGTAGAGGTAAAGTTAAATAAAATGATTCACTTTAAAATTTAAATTTGTTATGGTATCTGTTTAAACAAATGTTTCAGTATTAGTGTGAATCCCCCCCCTGTTTCCTTTAAAATCCACATGCAGATTTAGCATGGACTACAGACTAAACAAGTTTGCCCATATCATGACAACATTACAGAATACATTTCATGCAAAAGCAAATGCCAGTTTCCAACACCATGATATCCGAGATGCAATGGAGAATTCAGAGTGTATAAGATTCTTTTCATAATCTTATAATGCTAAATTTGATAAAAGTATTATCAAAAATCTACTCATTAAAGCCAAGCTAACAAAAGCACACAGAGTCTGCAAGCAGTTATATGGAAAATGGCATAAGCTTCTGAAAGCCGTTAAGGTTGGTAGTTAAGTGTGGACTCCCTGATCAGATGTGTCTGGCTGGGATAACAAACGTATCTTCCCTATCTGCTGCTCCCATAATATTATCACCTTTCTCTAAGTTGTGACAGAAATCTTTGCGCACTTTGAACATCTGTCCTAGCTGACAGGGTTAGTGCTGCTCCCAGTATACGTATCCCACACCATAACACATAATGGAATGTCACATGTATAATCGGATAATTCAACGACTTGGAAACAATGTCATCACCTGAGGCACCGATATTTTACTTTATGTGTACATTTCTTTTGGCAATATGGGTGTTTGGACGAGTTAAAAATCTAAATATTGTAAAATAAATTAATAAGCATTGTATATGATAGGAACTATGTATGATTTTCTAAAAAAAAAAAAAAAGAAGAAGAAAATATATTAGGGTCAAATTTTATAAACAATTATTCTGACATTTCAATTTTACATTTTTTGGCTTAGTCTTCATCAGAACAATTTTTTTTCCACTATGGAGTTTGACAAATTGCCTCTAAATTTAGTCTAGAATCGCTTCCGAGTTCTAAATTACATACCCATACCTTAAACTGCAAAACCATGGCACTTTCAAGTAACTTTTTGTATAAGGTTGTAAATATTTCCTTATTTCTAGATATCAACATATTTTCATGACTGTGCCATCAAAGCCAATTCCTGTGATGTATTTACTGGCAGAGATTCGTGAATCAACAAAAAATTACAAATGAACTTTCTCTCCTACTTCCCATTTTGTGATAATAATAGACGCAAGCCCCTATGCACATAGTTTCATATGTCTTGGTTCATCTATAGATCTCAGATACAAACTTCTCTGCATCTATTTTTATATGTCTTAGTTAAACACCTCACAATCTCCTACAAATCTCTCTTGTACCATTGTACTGACACTACAAACCATCAAACAAGACGACTTAAACACCTAGCATTCTCCTAGTCTCTCTTGTACGGACACCACAAACCATCAAACAATAATGTCAGTTTATGGCAAGGAATTAACACCAGTTAACATTCCCATTGTTGACAGGACATTTTGGCACACAGTGGTAGGGACTAAGGTAAGCACAAATTCCTAAAGGGGACATGAGCAGGATTCACTAAAAAAAAATATACTTGTACACTAAAACTTTTAAACAAACAGATGAATAATGCATAGCAAATCGTTTTGCATGAATAATTTTCAATTTGCATTTTTTCCAAATGTTGTATATCACCTCCAACTTCCCAAGCTGCTATAGGTACAAATAGTACTGGTGAACAAGGCATATATGGTGTGTTTTATCTCACATATATAAATAGTGATTTATATTTTCTTATTATTTAACTGTATTGATTACCAGGACATATAAAAAGAAAAATCAATAATCATACAATCATCACCCATCATTATGTCAAATCACACCTTAACCATACATGCTGACCCATTGCGTGAAGTCAATGATGATCCTCCAGAAAAATATTGATTCCTTTTCAAACTATGTTAATACTGTTCTATCTCTACAATGATGCTGACTTTCTCAGTCCATGGATGTTTATGAATTAGTATTTGTGATGTAGCCACATGTTACACCAGGTCATCTAGAGACCCTTTGTTCCAGGGTCAGCCCTAGCTGCCTTTGCCGACACTACCCTTGCATGGCTTTATAGGCCAGCATGTCAGGGCCATCTTCCCTAGCCACAATATTTGTGGAGAGAGAGAGAGAGCTAGCGAACTGGTTTATTGGCTGTACCTCCTATCTGTCCTGCATTTGTGATTGGGGTTGGAGAACTGTGACCAGAGATTGATGGTATCCTACCCTGTTCCTTCACTATAGGGTCTGAAACATAAAGTACAAGTAGATCAGTTATACATATATATATATATTTGTGATATCAATTAAATGATGCTCAACACCTTAAAAGATGATGTGCCTTTAATTAGTCTACATTATTTTATAAGTAAGCACTTTGTATTGTAATGGTTGTGATGGGACATACACAATGTACACCAAACATTCCACTATATCATGTACTGGCTTACCTTTGGGTGATCACACAAACTATTTAATACAGACTGACATGCATATTCTTATTCATTACTCTCACTAAGACACTAGAAAAATCAAGACACCTACTTTGGTGAAATCTAAAATAACTTTGAAAACTAGAAAACAGCTTAAGATATGAATGCCCCTTGGCTCTTTTAAAGTAGTTGCATTGTTTGACAAATTAGATCAATATTAACAATGACACTGAGCATCAAACCCTGATTTACTAATTCGTTCAATGTGTTACGAGACCTTGACATTGACCTAGGAACCATGAATTACGAATTTAATCGGAGGTATTTACTTACTTAAACTATGCCTAAAGTACAATGGAAATCTATTAACAAATGAAGGTGGTTGATTAATGACAATGAATCTGTTGACAAAATAGTAACCGGGTTGACAAATAATTAACAAGTGACCTGGTGTTGATCTTGAGACCATGAAATACAAAATTGTCCACCGTATTTTCATACTTGGTCTTTGAATGAATTTTGATGAAAATCTGTTAAATAGCGGCAACATAAAAACTTGCCCTCATCTTATTTTAGTAGACCTCATCACATTTGTATGTGTCAAAGGTTAATTTTATTGTTTCTTGCGCATTTTCCTTAGACAACCTAGAATGAAGAGTAATAAAGTGAAATGTATTTTAATATATATTCTATTCTATAGAATATTGATTGAGTCCATGAGATAGCTGGAAGAATGAATAACTTGATCACTAGCTTTTCATGAATTGTAACAAACAAACAAAAATTTAATGTGATTGATCAACAGCTGAACTGTGGTTGAAATATTTTTTAAGCTTATCAGTGGTTCGTTCTTGCTTCAAAAATGGATGTTTGAAAATATGATGTTTTAATTGAGTTGGTGCCAAACACTTCTAGTTTATGACATGAAGTCCTTACAAAAGTATGGGTGTTCCATTGCTTCTCTAGCTGTGAGTCTGTCTTGATGGTCGTATCGTAGTAGTTTGTCTAGATAATCCAGTGCTTCTGGGCTTACCAAGTGCTGATTTTCACTATGGACGAACCTTTCCCACCTTTTTCTTGAATGCCTTTATAAAGAAATTGTTACAGAAATTAAGTAAATTACGTTAACAATTTGTGCTCCTTTCTAGGATAACAATTAAAAACTGATTCCTAGTAAGTGCTGTTTCATTCATAATTCTCCAAGAAAAAATTCTTGAACCTTTTTTAAAGTAGGACTTTAAACACTTATTATTGCAAATATTGAGAATTAACTTATTATGACCTATTTGTATAGCAGTGGTTTGAAATTCAGCGAGAAAAATCTCAATATTTTAAACATCTCGATTCTTCAGTGAAAGTTCTATTAAAAACTAACTTACCTTCCTAAAATATCATTAAATCTAGGATCCAAATCAATCTGATATTTTTCTATGTAAGCATACAACTCATCTGTTCCCAACACTTTGGCTATCCGCACCAGCTGTAAAAGAGTATTGCAAATAAATTTTCTTTTTTGAATGACATTTCTTTAATTTGAACATAAACAGAAACAAAAATGTATTGGCACGAAATTAAATGATTTAATGTTATCAAATGAATGTCAATAGTTTTATAATCACTGTGCTGTAACAATTGTGTGTTGATTTTAAAATATTTCTGAACACTTGGCATACTACACACTGTACTAAGGGACATACTAAAGTGTATACTACACACTGTACTAAGGGACATACTAAAGTGTATGCTAAACACTGTACTAAGGGACATACTAAAGTGTATGTTACACACTGTACTAAGGGACATACTAAAGTGTATGCTACACACTGTACTAAGGGACATACTAAAGTGTATACTACACACTGTACTAAGGGACATACTAAAGTGTATACTACACACTGTACTAAGGAACATACAAAAGTGTATATTACACACTGTACTAAGGGACATACTAAAGTGTATACTACACACTGTACTAAGGGACATACTAAAGTGTATACTACACACTGTACCAAGGGACATCATTCATGTTTTATACACATGGGACTCTACGCATATATTGTATACCAAAACCAGACTAAAGGACACAATTTGTAAAATGAACACACTCAAAGAATAGGAAATAACGATTATTGTTATTTTCTCAAATAAGGTTGGAAAGGTTCATCTTACCTGATCATAGTTGTCATGGCCATGAAAAAATGGTTCCTTCCTAAAAATCATGCTAGCAAACATACAACCAAGACTCCACATGTCTAGTGAGTAGTCATACATCTGTAATACAAAACAAGGACAGTTGTCACATATACTGCACTCAAATTCAGCTAGTTTTGTAATGTACCTCAGAAATAAATATTTAAGTGACTTCTAGACAATGTTTTCAGGGGCAATATTTCAAATGGTTGGAAATGCAAAATAATCTTTAAAGTATCCTTAATATTAAAAACAACAACTGCTATCTTTAGTTATCAGCAAAACCTTCTTTTTTAACAAACAGAGAGTAGAATTGCTTTATTAGTGCTGTAACCCTCTAGTCATAAGAGTGATAACCAAGATTTCTTGATGTACCGAACAGCCAACTTACACTAGAATCAGGTGTTTTTATCATAGTGACAATGGTATGCAGGGTTTTTTGTCAAAACAATTTTAGAAACTTTCTCAATGGAAAAAAAACCCAGTTATATACTACAATATGTGTCTTAATAGATCCTTTATTATGTTGAAGAACTGGCAAAATGGGTGCATGGTCTAATTATGAATGTCAGTCAGGCAAAGGCTGTGTAATAGGTTTATATGTATGACATGTAGTGAGTAGAGTATGAAATCTGTAAGAAGAGTGTTCTGTACAATTACCCATCTTTCCTGTCATAATTTACAGACTTGTATCTCATTATTTGTCATGCGTATGAAATGCGTACAAAAAAAATGTTGAAGAACTGTCCATAATTCTGGGTCACAGTGCTACACAGAAATTCTACTTGTCTCCATGTTGATATTTGCAAGTTAGATCACATCAGCCACAAACAAGTGACATCTGTGTTGGACCTGCACGTTTTGTTTTGTTATTAGAAAAACAAATGGTCTACTTCTGATACTATAACTGTATGCTATTAAATGAAACATGTGTCTTAACCTCCCACCCTCACCCCAAGAATTACTCCATACAGGGACAAACAACACACATGTATGTGTGGTCATCAATCATTAAAATGGATTGCTTACAATCAAGAAAGGTTTATGAACAGCTCTGTAATAGGGGTTGCTATTTGAAAATAAGTTTATTACCAGACTATTTAATTAACCCAGCTGTTAAGAATGCTGAATATGTCATCTTGACAATGCAAGTGCAGCTATGTATTAACATGATTTGGAGTGTTTAGCCATGTAAAACAATATTATTCTGAATCTAATGTCAGAACAAAGACACTTACCTGATAATCCAGTAATAATTCTGGGCCTTTAAAATACCTAGAAGCTACTCTTACATTGTACTCCATGCCAGGGTGATAGAACTCGGCCAAACCCCAGTCTATCAACCTCAACTGCAGTAAAACAGGAACAACATTTAAGTATACATTAAGAATCAACAATTTCCATTATGCTTATTTAACATAATTATAACTGGAAACTACCATACTTACTGTGGCTTTTATCTCCCATTTCAAATTGTTGCATTTAATTTTGACTTTGATATTTATTACAGATAATCTCCATCAAAATATAATCATTACCATGAAATACTGTGTACTAACCTTTCTGGTTTCATGGTCAATCATGACGTTGTGTGGTTTCACATCTCTGTGCATAATACCCATGCTGTGACAGTAGTCCAGAGCCTAAGGGTAAGAAATGGTTCTCAGAACAATATTCTTTATAACTAGCGTTGGGAATCAATTGAAATTTTATGATTGATGATCAATTAATAATCCTTTGAAAGAATTGCATCACAAAATCCTCTATGCTGGGAATCACTTGTGCAATTGTACAATGTAAGAAATACCTTTCTACAAACACTGAATCTGATTTCTGCTGCTTAACTCTTGTTAGTGTCTATCAAAGAGATGGGCTTGAAATCATGAGTGACAAAAGTCACTCTACTGAAAACTCAGTAATATCTAAACACAATTATAATGACTTAAATCAATCATGAGTTCTGTAGCCAATTAATCAAGTTTAATGGCCTAACTGACCAATAGCTGACAAAATAACACTACTATTCATTACTGTAGAGCAACTTATATTCCTTATCTTTTTACATCAGTTTTCCTTTAAATAATGCACACAACTGTTAAAAACACTTGCTAGTAATTAGATAACAAATATACTGACAACGTCTTGTGCCAAATTAGTCCTGAAGATGGGTTCCCAATGATTTTTGGCAATGATTCAGTATATAGGAAAAATAAAAGTGACTTACCTTTAGCAATTCAAATAAGTAGAACCTAATGTCATAATCTGTGAAAGTTTGATACAATGTCTGTAAAATAAGGAACAAATATTTACAATTAGAAAAGATATCATAAAATACAAAGCATTACACAGTGCTTATATCAAAATATACATAACTATTTCCTCAAGTGAAACATTTCCAAGTTAAGGAAAATGGTTGATTCAAATAATTTGTCTTCTGAAAATTAAACTGTTACATAGAGATTTTTTCTTCATTATTTATTTAATTTAAACCGTTGCTGGCACTTACCTTAAAATCTGTGTTATTGACATGCTCAAATATCAAGGCTGGTGTTCTTGACTGTAAATAAAACAAAACATATTACTTGCATGTTTCACTATATGCAACAGGAGGATATGTCTTATCTTTCCAGAATTTGACATTTTTTTCTCAATATTTTTTTTACTCAATCTGTTTGTGATGAAATAACATGTTGAGGTAAACTATTCAAAATTTATGTCAACTGTTCTCCAGTCAAGTAATGCTTTTCAAGATTTAAATGACAGTATTATACGTTGGTATTTTTTGAAAGTAGCAGCAAAAAAGCAGGCTCAGACATGCTTTCCAAACAATTTGAATTTTATCTCTTCAATTTCATAAACTTGAATATGTTTATGTGGCACGAGTTGAGAAGGATGCAAAAAATATGAAAGAAAAGTCTGTAAAACAACTTTTTAAGGTACACATTTTCAGAAATCTCCCTATTTTCCCTGTGTTAGGCCTGATGTGGCAACGCTTATACTCAAACACTGTAGGAGATCTGTCCATATTTCTGAGTCACAGTGCTACACAGAAATTCTACTTGTCTCCATGTTGATATTTGCAAGTTCGATCACATCAGCCACACACATGTGACATCTGTGTAGGACTTGCAACAATGACCTTTTGAGTGTTTAAAGATCTAGAATCTGGTTTAGATAGAACTGTTATGATAAATCAATGTTCTTTCACTTCAATAATTCACTCAGTATTAACCAAGCATGACATTTGAAGACTGAAGATGTTTGCGTTTCAGTGATAGGGATGGTACAGAAAAATCAATTATCATTATATATATTTTCAGAATGATCAGACCCTATTTCCAAGACTGAGTTATTGACAAAAACAGCTCATTGTGATAATTATGACTGACCTTTGTTGAGTTGAATATGTCACGAGACAAATATGACAGAAAAATCATCATATTTAAATTTTATTTAAGTGTTTCAAAATCTCTCTTCTCCATAAGCTTTAATAATAAACACTATAGTAAATCATGGAGGAGATCTGTCCATATTTCTGAGTCACAGAGCTCTCAGTGCTACACAGAAATTCTACTTGTCTCCATGTTGATATTTGCAAGTTAGATCACATCAGCCACATACATGTGACATCTGTGTTGGACTTGCAACAATGACCTTTTAAGTATTTAAAAAGATCTAGCATCTGATTTAGATAAGACTTATGATATCATAAATCAATGTTATTTCACTTCAGTAGTTCACTCAGGCTAAACCTAGTCTAGAATATCATAGAATGAAGAATCAGGAGAGAGATGGTGCAGAAAAATTGTAAACTTTCAGAACGACCTGGTCCCATTTCCAAGACAAACACCAATGGACACAACAGCAACTGTGATACATACATATCCAGACTTTCAGTACCCTTAGACTATTGAGAGCAGATTTTTGGCTCCGCAAAAGATGACTTCAGGGTTTGACGCCCTGTCAAACACGCCCTATCCATGAAACGTTAATTGGGACTCTATATGTTTTAGGGAAAAAGATCTTAGTTTCTGAAATTGCTAAACGCCAGGTCCAATAAAAACCTTGTATATATGACTGACTTTTGGTGAGTTGAGAAATGTGAATGATGAAACAAATAATTCAGGTAAACTGTCACACTATCACTAAAAACTAACCCTGTAGGAGATCTGTCCATATTTCTGAGTTACAGAACTACACAGAAATTCTACTTGTCTCCATGTTGATATTTGCAAGTTCGATCACATCAGCCACACACATGTGACATCTGTGTAGGACTTGCAACATTGACCTTTTGAGTGTTTAAAGATCTAGCATCTGGTTTAGATAGAACTGTTATGATCAATCAATGTAATTTAACTTTAATAATTCACTCAGTATAAACCTAGCATGACATTTGACGACTGAAGATGTTTGCGTTTCAGTGATAGGGATGGTACAGAAAAACCAATTATCATTATATATATTTTCAGAATGATCAGACCCTATTTCCAAGACCGAGTTATTGACAAAAACAGCTCATTGTGATAATTATGACTGAACTTTGTTGAGTTGAATATGTCACGAGACAAATATGACAGAAAAATCATCATATTTTTGTACAAGTATTTCAGAATCTGTTTCTTCTCCATATGTTAAGCATTAAACACTATTGTAAATCATGTAGGAGATTTGTCCATATTTCTGAGTTACAGAACTACACAGAAATTCTACTTGTCTCCATGTTGATATTTGCAGGTTAGATCACATCAGCCACATACATGTGACATCTGTGTAGGACTTGCAACAATGACCTTTTAAGTATTTAAAAGATCTAGCATCTGATTTAGATAAGACTTATGATATCATAAATCAATGTTATTTCACTTCAGTAATTCACTCAGGCTAAACCTAGTCTAGAATATCATAAAATGAAAAATCAGGAGAGACGGTGCAGAAAAATTGAAAAACTTCCAGAATGACCTGGTCCCATTTCCAAGACAAACACCAATGGACACAACAGCAACTGTGATACATACATATCCAGACTTTCAGTACCCTTAGACTATTGAGAGCAGATTTTTGGCTCCTCAAAAGATGACTTCAGGGTTTGACGCCCTGTCAAACACGCCCTATCCATGAAATGTTAATTGGGACTCTATATGTTTTGGGGGAAAAGTTCTGAGTATCTGAAATTGCTAAACGCCAAATGTCCAATGAAAACCATGTATATATGACTGATTTTTGGTGCGTTGAGAAATGTCAATGACGAAACAAATAATTCAGGTAAACTGTCACACTATCACTAAAAACTAACCCTGTAGGAGATCTGTCCATATTTCTGAGTTACAGTGCTACACAGAAATTCTACTTGTCTCCATGTTGATATTTGCAAGTTCGATCACATCAGCCACACACATGTGACATCTGTGTAGGACTTGCAACAATGACCTTTTGAGTGTTTAAAGATCTAGAATCTGGTTTAGATAGAACTGTTATGATAAATCAATGTTATTTAACTTTAATAATTCACTCAGTATAAACCTAGCATGACATTTGAAGACTGAAGATGTTTGCGTTTCAGTGATAGGGATGGTACAGAAAAATCAATTATCATTATATATATTTTCAGAATGATCAGACCCTATTTCCAAGACCGAGTTATTGACAAAAACAGCTCATTGTGATAATTATGACTGAACTTTGTTGAGTTGAATATGTCACGAGACAAATATGACAGAAAAATCATCATATTTTTGTACAAGTATTTCAGAATCTGTTTCTTCTCCATATGTTAAGCATTAAACACTATTGTAAATCATGTAGGAGATCTGTCCATATTTCTGAGTCACAGCGCTACACAGAAATTCTACTTGTCTCCATGTTGATATTTGCAAGTTCGATCACATCAGTCACATACATGTGACATCTGTGTAGGACTTGCAACAATGACCTTTTGAGTGTTTAAAGATCTAGAATCTGGTTTAGATAGAACTGTTATGATAAATCAATGTTCTTTCACTTCAATAATTCACTAAAACTTAACTTAGACAAGAAATTCAATGAACGAAGATCATATAAGATTCTTTCATGCTCATGGGTGTAGGATAGGGAAATTCCACCCGAGGACTTGCATTTAATACAGGACTCATCTTAATGCACGTTACAATATTTAAGGCAAGTATTTTTTAGGTCACTGCAGCTCTAGAGAATTTTGTCTGTTGGAAGTTGTTATACTCACCACAGGGTCTTTGACTATAGCCAAGAGTGAAATGACATTTGTGCCTCCACGTAGATTTTCAAGGATCTTTATTTCTCTTTTAATCTTCTTCTTTTTTACAGGCTGTAACAAGATATGGAAGAATATGGAAATGTTTACTGTAAACATTGAATATCAAGCATCGCCTAATGACCTGCAATGCTATAATTATAATCACAAGATTGTAAGGCCTACACATTTAGTATTACCACTGGTTATGATCTCACAAACTGCAGTCTGCGACGTTAGGCACTAGTCCGATGCCCACGACTAGTAAATTTAAGTCTGGACTAGTATTGAAAATATTTAACTAGTCAAACTGGACTAGTGGCAATTTTCCTCCAAAATAATGGAAATAATATTAATGGTATAGATTTTGCACTATAAAGCTTGTAACAAGTTCTAATCCTATCGTAAAATACCATATTCGCCGAAGCTTCGAAGTTTCGATGAGCGATCGCGAGACAGGGTTCCGGATTTTAGTAGTTGCCGAACATTACTTCGGGTTTATAACCACGTGAAACCAACCATGGCGATGTTGCTAAGTTGGAGGAAAGGTTCAAAACCAGCTAAAACTGTCCGTGAACAGACAGAAAAAATTGCTCCAACACGAAAGAAAAAATTACGGTTCTGGCTAGTGATTAAAGGCTCGATGGAAACAACAGTAGTACTGTATTAGAGATAATTGGCGATCATATTCCATGCTCCGTTTCTTTAGTTAATTATTGAGAGACATTTTGTTTTGATTTCTAATAATTTTCCAATTTAGATCACAATTTACACTTCATGCTGTAAAAAAGACCAGTCTGTAATTTGGACTAGCAAATTCACAGTTGGACTATTAAAATTATGGGTTCACTAGTCCAAATGACTAGTAAGGAAAATAGTTAACATCACAGACTGAAACTGACTTTGGTAGATAGAAATATATATCATTTCCAAGCAATTGTGAATTTATACAGATCATTCAAACTTTGATGTTTGACAAAATTTGCAGTACTTACTTCATCACCAACAACAGAGCTAATCTGATTAAATTACTTAATCAGCCTGAAACCAAACTGTTCATTAATGCGTACCTTTAAAATTTTTATGACACACTTCTCATTGTTTGTGATATTCACAGCTTCGAAGACTTCACTGTATTTTCCTCTGCCAAGTTTTCTCACTATTTGGTAATCATCTTGTTGCCTGAAATGAAGATACATATCTCATGTCAAATTAGTTAAAAGCCAATAACTGTATGACCCAAATAAGACTTCAAACAATTCTTCTGTTGGTTTTCTAATTTAGAAGCAAAGGAAGAATACATATCCTTGGATTTGTTTATAGTTAGTTACATACATGCCCTCAATACATCCTAGTCTTTGTCATTATTTTTGTTTTATTTTGTAAGTAAACATAGTATGATTGTTTATACAATGTTATCACTGTTATCGCTACTCGTATCATAAAAAAATAGCTGACTTGTCACCAAATCACTGGATATCTGAATTTACATGGGGAATCATAGTAGATGTTTCTGCGGTTTCAAAAGACCCTATTTTGGTGTTAAGCTATGCATGTAAAGGGAACAAAGTAACAGTTCTTATACAAACAACAGATTGAAATACAGTTTGAATAGCAAGACATTAATGATTTCTTTGTTTTTTTTACACCTTTGCACACCGATACATTTTTATTTAATATATGCTCAGCTCTACCTTTACCAGATCACATGTATTTGGTGTGTCCAGCACCAATTCCTTGGTCAATATCATCTTAAAACCAGTAAAACTAAACAGGAGAATATTTTTTAATAATAAATTAATATTTAGAGTTCAAGTCGTCTTCATGGTTTTATTTGGCACTTCAGTAGCTATAGTCATAAGTATCTGTAGTGTGCTTGCATCTTTGCCACAAGCTTGCAAGCCTCTCAACTCTCAATGATGCAGCATAAGCATGGAAATCCCTGTAGTTGTGCCAAGCAAGGTGAGCAAAACAAGTCCGAAAAATGCTTATACTGCTACTAGGCCTAGTTTACTTACATCCGATAGGAAATCTGGCAAAAATACTGATACTATGTAAATTAAGACGAAGGAGGTGTTAAAAAGCCTTAGCCCTTAAAATGATTGTTAAATTCAGCAATTTATTTCTGGTCTTTTCCTCTCTTGCATCCTGCAAAAACCTTTACAGAATAAGTTTCATTGGCCCACAAGAAGTTTTGCAGTCGGACTAGTTGGAGGTCTGTTTACGAACACATTAAAAATGCATTTTCTTCTTTGCATACGTACAGCAACTATCTGATCAGAATTGATTTTAGAAAAAAAAGCTTGACCTATTTTCATATAATCATGTCATGAATTATTACCATTTATCACCAGATTTAGAAATTTTGTTTCATTAACACAGAGCAGCATTGGTCTAAATTAAATTTTATTCCAAACAACATAAGTCAAAATGATAGTACATATGATAATTCTACATTTGATACACAAAAATAACGTGAATTTATCCAATTTTTTTATCGACTTAAAATTGATATAGTGCCATGAAAAAAATCTGTTCCGAGTGACTTTTGCGTACTAGTGGGTTGATTTTTTTTTTATCAAAGGCCAGCAATAGTTAACAGTTAGTATAAGCATTGCTTGAGAACCAGTGACTGGTTACATACAATAGTTTACAGCTTACATACAGCAGCAAGCTGCTAAGGTATGAAAGAACCTGTTCGTATCTACAGAAAAGCAGTCAAACAAATATTCGTCTATTTTAAGAGTTCACAATATCCATACTCGGTGTAGAATAACATTTTTTCATATCGCGTTGTCTACTGACGTACAGTAACTGAGTTAGTGCTTGCTACATGGGGCACCCATGGGGGATTACAACTTGAAAATGTTTTGTTTCTTTGCAAGAGTACAACACATGCCCATGCTTTATGGCGTGAATATTTGTTGTATTATGTCTATTTAGTCACTTACCCCCACTCGACTACATGAGACTCGTAGTCCCAGTACTCTCTTTGTCTGTGGATGTTCACATCAGCATACACTCGTGCTCGACTTTGCGCCGGCATTTTTGCAAATTTTCGTATCGACTGGCCTAAATGACTAATTTCCCTAAAGTATTTGCTGAAGGTGCGAAAAATGGCTGTTGCTTGGACGGAACAAACTAAGAGCGAGTTTAGTGTTTACTTCACAACAAACACTAAACATATGCGAGGAACCCGAGACAGCACCCTCCCGGTTCCCGTAAAACTGGAAACTCTCGTTAGTTGTACCATGTAAAATGTTGGTTCGTTTCCCATACAGACCTACATTGAGTAAAAATCTATATACACTATCTCAAAGTTCAAACACTAATGAAGCTATTGGTGCCAAATAAACCACCGTGGTGACTGTTTCAAAGAAGGTCGACACCGATGAATTTCCTTTTTAGTCCGTATTCCATTCTCTCGAGTCAAAATGGCTGCCAAGGATGACCCGCGAAGGTGCAGGAACGAGGCTTACCTACCTCGTGTATTTACGAGTTATTTCCCTTGGATGGAATGTGAAAGGCTGAAATCGGTTTCACATGTTTACGGTTCCAGTCTGTACTCTTATGGTCTGCGAAAATCACTTATTAAAAAATCTTATATTACCAATATCCAGCTGTTCATTCATTAAGCTACACGATATTTTGTTTGTTTGATTTTTTTTAAATTAATATACATTATACGTCCCTGCCCTGATTATATTTATAGTAAAGATTATACGCGTAAGTACTATCACGGGTACTATGCATGTAATCGACATATCTCTACTAGTTATATTAGTTTGCCATTGCAGATATTTGTTGTTGCTTTCTAATCTAGAGACATGCTTATTTTGTTTCCAGTCAACATCACAGTTTTAACCTATAACATGTCAATCTCTTTTGCGACACAGAAAGGATTGCTACGAAATGACTTATTATTATAAAATTATAAAGTTTATTTAGGGTTGCCTATGTCATGCGGAGTTTAATTTCTCTTTTACTGGATGTAGAGAAACAGATTGCACTTCAAACCATGATAGGTGTTGCCATATGAAACAACTTTAATTATGGTAAAATCCCCCTAGCTTATATTTTTGCAGATTATAAAGTTAAAAAAAAGAAAGGTAAGTGGCCTAGATTGATAAAGGAACTTTAGATAACGTGACATTTCATTTCATAACATTCGGCGATGTTGAAAACGCGATACATATGTTATAAATATTGTAGCTAAAATGTGTTATAACGTTTACAAACTGTCTATTTTGAACAGTATTAAATTTTACGAAGCTTATTATTCATTAGGTCACAAGATACAAGATACAAGAAGCTTTATTTAGTGTCGTATATGGCATAACACTGAACATTAGCTCTGTGGAGCTATTTTTACGACAAACATAAGTATAAAAACAGAGTAATAACAAGGTAAAAGGCATGCTAGTAGAAAAGGTAGAATTTTGCAGCATAACTATATACATTGAACTACTAAAATAATCAGAAAACAGTTTGATGCTAGCACATGCATGTTAAAAGCAGGAACAGTACTAATTATAACATAAGCATAAATCAGAAGCATAAAACATATCAAAAACATAACAGATTTTGCAAGCACATATTTCATATATATCACAGATGGTTAATAACGATACTTTATATTGGAAAATAATGGAATAAAATACTCAGATAAATAAAGTAAAGTAAGAAGCAAAATAAAAGCAAAAATCTCAAATAAAAATGGGAGATCAATCAGATGAAAGTCGCGAACATATAGAACACTGGCAACTGGTCTTGTATCTTGTATCTTCACAGTCGATTATTCTAACTTAACGAAATAATAGTAATGTTATGATGCTTAAGTTGTATATTTATTAAATAATTAGACTCGGCTTGCCAATATAGACACTGATCTTGTCAGGTAAATCTACAAAACTAATGGGCTACAATGAGAAGTCCCTTAGAATGGCTCATTAAAGCACTCGATGTTCTATTAACTGATTTTAATTATTCTGACCAAATCTTTGTCCACTTGTGATTATATATTTTGTACTAAACTCTTTAGTGCGAAATAACTATCTTCTTCAAAGAAAGTAATACAAGTTTTACTGTAGGGAGATTGGCTACGCTCCATCTGGAATCGTTGTGTGAGACCCCTCATCTCGATTCAGAACTAGTCCGCCTCGGCGTATCCAGGTGCATCACTGTATATGTCGCTGGATCAGGTTGCTCTCTCTCTCTCTGTCCGATTATTTGGAGTTATCACAGTCAATAACAGGATCCGGGACTCCGACGGCTTCCTTTCTGGAGTTCCTTTGTTGGGTTTCCGTAGCATGCCGGTGTTCACCACGTCAGACCCCAAAGCGCCAGTTTCTGCGATATACGATCCGTCGCAGTTCTTGCAACGTTTTCTTGGTGTTTTGTCCCTGTGTTGTACAGTACAATGCGTCTTGTGGGGATTTATGACTGTTGCTGTATGTCATGAACGCGAAATTTGCTCTGGATGTTAAGGGATTATTATCTCGCCTTTCGTTTTGTTAGCATGTTCTTGTTCTTTCCCTTACTTTGAAACTGGTGTACCCTTTGAGTATCCATTCCGGATATCATCGTTTCCATCGATTGCATTCTGCTCTTGTATTTCGTATTGTTGTTCTTTATTTTGTCTTGTTTGTTCCGTGGTTTGTGTGGTTGTTGTTCGGTGACAATCGTATCGGTAACGGGTTGTTTCGCCCTAAATCCCATTCGCCCTAAGGGTTGTTTCGCCCTAAAAAAAAATAAAAAATTGTTGTATACCCCGCAATGTTATTAAAATTACACCATTTTTGTTTCGATTCACTATTCTTATTTATTTCTGAAATTAAATTCAATATATGTTATAATGTGTTTCGGCGTGAAGAAAATAACGTAATCCGTTTTTTGCTTTACAATGTACAATAAATAACACAAAACACATTTTTTTTTAATAAAACTGATTTTAATGATTCAAACAAATCTATATAAGTCAATTGAGTGGAGCATGTGGCAAACCAAGTTGTCATAGAGCAATGTTGATCCAGTACTTAACCAAATTATATAAGATATCTTATATACTTTTCTTTATATGATATCATTTATATTAGTATATAAGATATCCCAGAAAAGATATAAGATATCTTAATATATAAGATAAGATATCTTAATATATAAGATATCTCATCCTTTTTTTTATAAGATATCTTATATTATATATAAGATATTTTATAAACTTTTTTTATAAGATATCTTATATTATATATAAGATATTTTATAAACAAAAATAAATGAGATATCTTATATATAATTCAGTATTTGAATTTGAGATAACAAACCCTCCCCCACAGCGCTCGGAACCTATCGATAACCGATGGGTTCGAGAGGATTTGATCGAAAATGGCAGCCGATGACAATGGGACCAGTTATCAAATTGAAACTACATATAATTATGGTAAGCCAAATTGTCATTTATTCACGGAGCAATGTTGAACAAATTATCGCCAACGAAAACGGATGTGATCTTACAACGGGAGCAGTCATTTTCAAACATTTCTTCTTTGTCCGTCTCGCGAGAGTCTCGTTCTTTATAAGATATCTCAATTAATTTTAATTAATTTTCTTTATAAGATACCTTATATCTTTTATGATATATCTTATATAACATATAAGATATCTTATGAAGAAAATTAATTGAGATATCTTATAAAAGATAACTTATAACTTATTTATTATATAAGATATCTTATATCTTTCATAAGATATCTTATATAATAAATAAGTTATCTTATAAAGAAAAGTTTATGAGATATCTCATATCTTTTATAAGATATATTACTGTATATATCATATAAGACATCTTATATCTTTTATAAGATATCTTGTTAGGTTTATAAGATATCTTATAAAAGATATAAGATATCTCATACATTTTAAATAAGATATACCATATGTTTATAAGAGATTTTATATAATTTATAAGACATCTTATATAATTTGGTTAAGTACTGGCTTGCCATAGAAGCAGCAAGTCGACGATTTTCCCTCCCAAAGTTTGAGTTTGACAGAGCCGAAATGAGAATCGTGAAGCTAACCATATTCTGTAAATGTGAGCTCTGTTTCTTTTCTTCTTTTTCTGAGAATTTGAATTATGTGGAATATTTTACAATGGAAAAAGCATTGATACATATGTGTACGCCTATTTCAGCGCCTAGCGGATAAGGGGAAAGATGTGATACTGAACTGTTTCAAATACTGCCGAGCAAGACTTTCGTCCGATGAACTAGGAGAAGTTGTTTTCTGAGGTTGTGAAAAAAACAAATTTGCGGTTAACTTGACGATTTTTGCAACTCGAAATCACTTGATTTGTTTTGCTTTTATTTGTCACTGTTAAAATTCATATATATAAACAAATTGGTTCGTTGTTAAATCTGCAGAAGGACTCGAAAATGTCTATTTCTTACTTAATATCTATTGTAAGCTTCATTTCCTTCAGCGAGGCATGCAGACGGACCGTTCTTCCTGTTGACTTTTTACATTCATGCCGAGAGTATTTTGTTGTAGCATTTCTGTCGCCCCACCATTCAGAAACAGGAGTAGAATATTTTTTGAATATTTTTGGCAGCTTCGTACTAAATTGCTGAATACAGTACTATTGGTATATCGGTTTGTGATGAGGAGTCTAACATGACAAAATATGTTAACTATGTACAGGCGACGGATGAAGATACGGGCCAAATAACCCTCCGCATTAAAACCATTTTGGAATATAACATTAGATAGAACACTTGGTAGGCCTACCCTGAAAGATGGAAAATGATTTACACAAACTTAATAATGTAGCATTTAATTCGAGCAGGCTATATGCCTTTTGGGTCTTTGGAAGCAGTCATTTGAAGTTTCAACGCAACAATGTGACGTAAAACTAAAAAGTGATCAACGTACAAGCCCCTTTGACCCAGAGGTTGGTTGGTTGAGGTGTTTAGCGCCTACATGAATCCGCCCTAATGGGTTTCTTGACCCAGAGACATATATACTAGTTTTATACGTCTCTGTTTGACCTTGATCAAAGTCCTTGGTCAATCAAAAAACGCATATATACTATAAACGTCTCTGGGTTAATGTAATGTTTTTGAACAACTTGGCAAGTTGCAAACACTAAGGTGCTCATATTTCGTCACACTAGTACATATGTAGGCCTACCTGCATTTATTTATATCTACTCATGAATGTGCGTTATAAGTCAGTCCTGTAAGCTATCTTAACGTTAGTGTTAATATTCAGCATTTAGACGAGAGAAAAAACTTTTGCTATTTTATTGTATTTTGATTTAGCATAGGTAATAACATCAACCATTAAGGGAGTTATTTGGTACTTATTAGTTGAAACAGGTACCGTCATATCGTTATAGTGCATAGAAAGAGTGTCCCAATCGACAAGAGTTGTCGTCCGTGGTAGAATCCCCGGATGTTGTCCATTAGCAACAAGAAAGCGTAAAAATGGCCGACTCAGAGTCAATGAGTCTCGATACCAGCAATGATGCTGGGGACGATCCACTACAGGATTTGTCCGATGAACAACTGTTTCATATGGTTGAGGACATGCAGTAAGTGATGCTAGCTAATAATATGAGAAGCGATAATCGTCGCGTATATATGTGTTGAACTTGAACAGGCATGTAGAACAGTGGCACTAAATCAAAACAATGACTGGAATCGTCAGAAGATCGTGCCATTTAATATCCATTTCGTCACTGTTACTAACAGTTACATGTATTTTCTCTTTTGTGTGATTTTCGTTTTTTTGGTGTGGTTTTTTAACAAAACATTTAGTGTAGTAGAATACAATGTACGTCGACACAAATAGGCTACATAATCATACATGTGCAATACTTGAATGCGAGTAGATCAATGAGATATTTATATCTATGTCTTCTACTTCTACCATTTGATGACCTACTTCAGCATAGTGAAGATCATGTCATATATAGGTGTAGCGCTATGAAAGGAAAGGAACAGAACTTAATATTGATGAACAGAGATAGATGATTTGAAGGACAGTAGTGAATCAGAAGAAATAATTTGAGAAGGGAGTGTGTTCCAATCTTTGATAGTCCGAGGAAAGAATGAAACATTCCTTACAGACGTCCTGCATGAGATAGTTTGAAATGAGGTTTTATGACTATGCCTTGTTTGTCTTGTTACAGGGGTGAGATGTTTTGTAGTAATGGCAAATTTACTATGATAGATTTGTCATGATGTTAGGCTACAGAAGACCCCAGGAGTAATCAGTATTCAGTATTTAGGTCTTAGTGTTAACAGTCCCGTGGTCTAGGTGTTAAAGTCCTTAGATATGATTTTTTTGTGCCTCAGTCTTGTTAAGAATGGTGCAAAGGTGTGTGTACATTCAACTGGTCTAGGTGTACTGGGTATGTGACTGGTTCATATTTGTAGTCACCTGTGACCAAACGTGGAAACTTGGTGGGTCCTAGATTTAGATATTATTCCGCCAACTACATGACTTGGCAACTCATTTTAGGAAAACCCCAATTCACCTGGTAATTTTTGTCTAAAACGTACACTATTGTGGCAGATTTTAATTGTATGTAGGATTATGGGCGCCCTCTAGCTTCATGCTTGATGGAATTTCCCTTTAGCCCAATTAATCAGTAGGATTGATAAGAGGGATGGACTTGGAAGCTGGGGGTCGCTGGTCCAATCCCTGGTGGAAACACACTACTCTCTATATTATGGTTGTTTTCTAGCTTTGGGCTAGAGGGAATTCCCTTTTAACTTAATCTGTAGAGTGTCGGAGTGGGAAGCTTGTGGTCACAGGTGTCCTGTTACAAAATAATTCAAAGTTTAGCCAAGACATTTACAGTCATAGAAATTAGTATTTAAAAAATGTAAATAATAGGTCTATGAGATATAAATTTCTTATAGACCTACTAAAATTTTGATAACCATATCTTTACCAAGAAATTTTACTTATATGTTAAGTGTTCATTAACATGTAATAAAGAAAATATGGGAAGACATGCAACTTCACAGAGGATTTCTTCTCTCTCTACTATACTTATCATTGAATTAAATACATCACAGGAAATAACTTCCTAGACAACTTGGTCTATGAAATAAATGATTCCCGTAGACCTGCAGTGATTGTCATGGTGATTGTTTATGGGCCTAACATTAATAAATAATAAAAAATTGTATAGTTTTAAGCAATCGGAGCAAGTTTTGTCTGCCTACCTATTGTATGTTGCCCATGAACTAAATTCAAAAAATGAAATGAAAAAAATCAATCTGGGAAATGGAATGGTTAATAGGAAAATGACCATATTTATTGGTCATAAAACTTGCTTGTATAAGTGCTTCAAATCACATCTTTTTTCATTTTCAGAAAAGAAAATGATGTTCTTGCAACAGAAACACAGATGTTTGAGAAATACCTCAAAAGAAATGAGACCAAAGATGCCTTAGGAGTTCCAGGACAGGGTGCGCCTGCAGCAGGTATTGTTCCATCAGCGTCCAGTCAGGACGTGATGCGTGGTGTCAACAGGAAGAGGTCTAAATCCAGGAGTAGTAACATTGACAAGTCTTCGATGCGCCTTAATACCGAGCAGAAATGTGACATCGCACAAAAAGAAATTGATGAACTCAAAGAAGAAATTGAAAAATTGAAAGAAAATTGTGAAAAGATTCTAGATACATTTAAGGTATGTGATTAAATAATTATGCTAATATATCTCAGTATTTATATAACAGGAACAGGATTTATTGCCTAAAGTAAATATGCTGATGATGATTCACAACTGATTCTCTTAATTCAATAAAGTCAGAAATCTACCTTTTATGTGATCCTTTAATGATAAAACTGGATTATTACTTCATTCAATTTTGCACTGATTTTAGGCTATCATGGAAGAAGCAGATTTAAGATTAGCAGAAACCAAGAAGGAGTCCTATGAATTTGATCGTGATATATTGAAAGGTTCAGTCAACGCCAGAACAGCAACGGTTATGGCTGAGAAAGTGGTGCGATACTTTGAGGATAGATTAAGATCTCGAGTAAGTTTTAATACTGATAAACATAACATGAGTATGGTGAAAAAATGGTTTTAAATAATTGTGATTCTACTCTCATGGAAATAGAGCTTTTTAACAGTTGAGATATATGTAATGATAAAGAGCCATTTGATCTTTGGTCCAGTGTTAAATAATATCCCACTCATCTTTAGTGATTATATCATAATGGTATTAGTATACAGAAGTTATTTGTCAGTATCAGATATTGTGTCATACATTGATTTTGTAGAAGTTCTTGTTATTTAAAATTTCATTTATTTTCTGAACAGGATGCTTTAGTTGAAAAGCTACGTCTGAAAAATTCAACATTAAAAGTGCAGAAGAAAAAGTTACATCTACAGTTGAAGCAGGTAATTGATGTTTGATTTCTTAATAATTGTCTTTTATTGGCTCCAAATATGTGCAATAATTGACAAATATTCTCAGTATCAATATTTGTAAATATTTTCCCGTTTGACAACCATTTTGTTGTAAATCTGTTGGTACCACTAAAGCTAGCAGTCTTCCATATATACATACAACATTATCACCAGACCTAGGACTCATTATAGATGCTTCCCTGGCTGTTAATACTGACACATATATATTCCTTGGTCATTTATTCAGAAAGAGGAGATGGGAGAGGTATTACATGAGGTGGACTTCAACCAGCTCAAGATAGAAAACCAGCAGTACCTGGAGAAGATTGACGAGAGGAACCAGGATCTGCTCCGACTAAAACTAATGGCTGGCAAAACGCTGCAGGTCCTCAACTCATACAAGGTGAGGCAAATCTTACAGGATATTTGGAATTATTTGAAACTGAGCTTCTTGACTTTGACAAAGAGATAATTCTCATTTAATACAACATAGTGAAGCCTAGGTGTGTCACAATATGCCAAGAGTGTATCACGATATATTGCAATACAGAATGAATATATTGCGATACGTATCCCGATGTATTGTCATAGAAAAGATGTGCTCGATTTTATGATAAGTTGTTGTCAGAATGTTATCAAACTTAATCATATATAATATGAATCACATAGATTTAAGATTTTTGTCAAATCAACCATCAATTACATGTACAAAATTTGAACTTATTCCCACCACTATTAAAAGCCTGTTTTATGCATATTGGCATATCTGTTAGAATTTGTAGCAATTTGTAAAGTTAAATTACGAAGCAGAATGAGATACATAAAAATAAGCGTTTAAAAAAAACATCGCGATACAGCAATATTTCATCTCTGTATTATGGTACGATACGATATATCCGTGTATTGCAATATACCTGTTTTCCGTTATATTGTGACAGCCCTAATAAAGCCCCATACAGTTCCCCTCAAAAATAATGTATATTGATATAAACAAAGGATTGTCCCCTTTACGTTGAATATCACCAAGTGTAAAAAGTATTATTGACCGGGTTCAGGATATGTTTTACATCATGACAAAGTCAAAAGATCAGAGCAGCGTCGGGTAAAAATGTGTTAGTTTTTAGACAAATTTACCGTAGAATAAAAATGAAGATGTTCATTTTGTAGAAAAAACTACATACACTAACAATGGAGTCGGAGAGGCTTAAATCTGAGATCACAGCCAGGAATGAACTGCTCACAAGGATAGATGCTGAAACAAAGGTGGTAGAAGTGGTGAGTATCTCACAACACTGGTGCTGTCTGTATTCTAGGGACAACTTGTTGTGCTTCCTTAAATGCGACCTTTGATCTGTTGCTTTACCAGTCTGGTGCTGTACAGAACTATATACTGGGGTACCTGTAGCCTGTGACACATATATGATATCAGATAAAAAAAGGTATTATTTCATCGGTATTAAGTGTTAACATGGTGTATACTGTGGCTACATGCTACATGTTCGGCTTATCACAAAATAGTAAATGTACACTGATATAATAACTACCAAAGTTAATAGACTTGCAACACATTCTGTGGCAAAATTAAATTGACCTCATGGATTTTTCTCGTTTTTGTTTTTGGTTAGATTGTTGTAATCATCCATGATGTTTAAGGGTGTATAAAGTAGTCACTTTGTTTATCCCAACTTTCATCCATCATTTTAGATATGTCCAGACTGAACCACTGAACATTACTTAATTCACATCTTCATCACAACAAGTTAAAGCTCAAAGCTAGGCCTCAAAGTCCAAATAGTTGGAAGGCTTGTCCGTACACAGCCTATCCATTATAGTAATTAAATGCAAAGGGTGAAACTGGGCCAATATGGATTTTACCAGTGAAGTGCTACTAGGCCAATGTTTCCCAGTTCACAGTGTATACAGTAAATATGGGTATAGCTTTATGAACCTTCGCTATTCTTTTATAATATATAAATTTCAGGAACGTGCTAAAGCAGAGAAAATTAATAGAAAGTTACGCCAACAACTGGCAGATTACCGAGTACCAGAGGTGATGGAATATGTCACAGAGAAAGCAGATCTCTACGAACTGCAGAAGAAAGTGCGGAGCTGGGAGAGGAAGGTTGAAATAGCTGAGGTAAATTAATCTAACACAATCACTGTTTTATTACTTTGATCATATTCTTTTGTCCTTTAAATTTTATTGCAAGAAGATAAAGAATAAAATCAATTTCCAAAAGACTCTTTTACCATTGATACTCCATTACTTCATGTCCTACCACATCACAATTGCACACTGAAGTTTTTTACCTCTGTTTCTATAGATGTACCCTCTACCATACACAACATATTTTGCAATGTCTTTACAGAATTACATGCAGTTATTCAAAATTCCAGTACAGTATTTGGAAACTTAAATATAAATTTAGCTATATGTTACCCCTTAAATTAGGCTAGTAATATGAATGTTAGAATCCTGCAGACTGGAGCAGCATTTCTCACTTAAATACTGAAACTAATATTTATTTATTTAAATTAAATAATGAATACATATGATTAAAATACCAACTTTATTGTGGGTATAGAACAGTTATACATATAAATGACAATGTACTACTGCATGATAATGATTGGGTTTCTACATATAACATGGTTAAATTCTGTCAGGAAACAGCAATTCTTGATGACAGCAGACAGTTTTTACTTACAAGCATAAAATGTTTGCCTTCAAAACCCAGCAGAAAAGAACGGGGCAAATTTTCTCAATTATTCTTTTTTTTCTCCTGGTTAGATGGCACTGAAGACCCACAGGAAGTCCTGGAACCAGCTGCAGATCGGAGCCAATCAGATGCAGGCAAATCAGTGGCGCATGATGGAGGCTGTGTAAATTTGTAGGGCTTTATCAAAGACTTAAAATGTTGTAAACAAATATTTCATTGATGGAGAAATGTATGATTTGGAATAAATATGAAGACCTTTTATATAGTAACACAAAGATTGATCTAGACTCGGCCATTCCTCACTAAGACGTCTGTGATCTGAGAACTGATTAGGGAACACACCTAGTGAGGGTCTGGGCATTTTAGGGTCATCATAAGAGAAAGCACTTGTGTGTTCTTCACTATCACATCCACAAATTAGTTTTGATTCAGATTTCATTAGAAATCTTTCTTTAAGAAATGTAATATTATAATCAACTGATTGTGGAACAGTGTTTTTTTACAGCTTGAAGAAAAAACACTGGGTGTTAACTTACAAGTCAACATTTATGTTTTTTTTATTAAAATTACAGAAAAAAGTAATGGTTTAATACAAATTCAGTGAAAATAATGTTTAAATTATTTACGGGAAATTAATTATTTCTCATCAAATAGAATTGAATGGTGATTGGAGCTGTGGTTGCTAAAAAAAGCATGAAACTTATAATAAAGATTCTTATCTTTGATCTGGTTTATAAAGGCATTCATTTGCATGCTTTTATGTATGCAATCAGGGGGGGTTGATGTGGGAGGCCATAAAAATGCTACCCCCATCTAAGAGTTATTGATGTAATAACACAACCTCCCAGCTATATAATGTATGTGTCCTCTGTAATAGCTCTAATCATACCAGTATTACAAAACATGTATTAAACAAGGACCAGAGTTTTTATGAAACAGCCACGGTTGAGACTGCTAAAAACACCCAAGAAGTGTCGAGAATAGAAAGTGAAAAAGTAACTATTTTTCCTGCTGTGCAATGGTCAGATTAGATTTTGAATGAAGAAGGTGGCATGTCTGATGTCTTAATTGTTGATACATCATTATCATGTGTTTTATGTATGTTGTGTATATATGTTTTTTCTTGTGAACTATTCCCGACCATGGTGGTCCAAGATAGTGAATTACGTCCAACATATCATTAACCCTTACTGTGATACCATTGTATTTCTTTACTTGAACCACAAGTGATTAAAAGCTACAAAATGTGAAAATAAGTAATCCTACCTTTGTTTTTTATATCTAAGTGAGGTTTTACTACAGCAGAAACAACGTACTGGTGTCCTGTTTCTCAGTCTTAGAAGAGTTATTGCCCTTGACATGTCCGCGGATGTGGGAGACGCATAAAAGAGATGTGTTCTCAAGCTTGTGATTATTATAGTCACATTTAGTGTTGGACTTTTATGTAGATCTGCCCATACTAGGTCCAACATTCATCAAACTTCATATGTGATACAGTTCAAGGAGTATTACATTAATCAAATTAGGTAGGTCATTGTGACCTATATTTTCAGCTTCACTTTGGTTAGACTATGTGTTTAGCTCAATTTCCATCGAAGTGAGAGCAGAATAATATGAACAGTTTATGGCGAAAACAAGAATGGGTTAGGTCTGTGTGCTGATCTTTCCATCTAAGTTTTGGACAAATTACTTCCGTAGATTCAAGTTATAATTCCAAATAGATTTAAAAATTGGCTGCCATATTGGATCATAAATCAGCCCCAAAATAACAAGAATCAGTCAGACCTATGCACTCATCATTCTAACTAGGTATTGGGCAAAATTGGTTAGAAAAAGTTTTAAGTTTATTATGTAGAAAGGATAATGGACACCGAACGAAAGGGCATGTCAATAGCTCACACTGATGACATCAGAGCTTAAAATTCTGCTCATTGTAAATACAGTTGAAATATGTATATGACATCTAAAAGGATACTTTAAGTTATTTATTTTATTTTTTACCAGAGTGCCTGTAGCTTTCCTTGTGCAACTCAAGCTCAGTAAAATGATGTGACATTATTTGAATATTTATGGATTAATTGAGGTAAAGAAGTTCCATAATAAGTGAAATAGGCAGGAGCCATCTTTTCCATAGCATAGGTTGGAGAAGAATACATTCTGTAACAGGCTAAGAAAAGAACCATCTATGGACAATAAAAAACAACTATTGAATTTCTCTTATTTTTTATTTCATTTGTTCATCATTCAACATGATTTTTTTTGTAATAAAGAAGCAAAGTTGAATTAAATCAAATATATGTACAGCTCTGTAGTAACAATTACATTTTACCAGAGAAAATGTCCACGGAACGTGCCCACAGTATAATAACCCAAGGCAACATGAAGCTCAGGATAATCCCCCATGGGAACATGTACCACAGATGAATAACCAAGGGGAACATGTACCACAGATAAATCACCCATAGGAACATGTACCACAGATTAATCACCAAGGGGAACATGTACCACACAATGATCACCCGGGGGAACATGTACTATAGGATAATTACCCAGGGGAACATGTAACACAGATAAATCACCAAGGGGCACATGTACCACACAATGATCGCCCGGGGAAACATGTACTATAGGATAATTACCCAGGGGAACATGTACCACAGATAAAACACCAAGGGGCACATGTACCACACAATGATCGCCCGGGGAAACATGTACTATAGGATAATTACCCAGGGGAACATGTACCACAGATTAATCACCAAGGGGAACATGTACCACACAATGATCACCCAGGGGAACATGTACCTCAGAATAATCACCCAGGGGAACATGTACCTCGGAATAATCACCCGGGGTAACAAGTACTATAGGATAATTACCCAGGGGAACATGTACCACAGATAAATCACCAAGGGGCACATGTACCACACAATGATCACCCGGGGAAACATGTACTATAGGATAATTACCCAGGGGAACATGTACCACAGATTAATCACCAAGGGGAACATGTACCACACAATGATCACCCAGGGGAACATGTACCTCAGAATAATCACTCTGAGGAACATGTACCACACGATGATCACCCAGGGGAACATGAACCACAGAATAATCACCCAGGGGAACATGTACCTCAGAATAATCACCCGGGGTAACAAGTACTATAGGATAATTACCCAGGGGAACATGTACCACAGATAAATCACCAAGGGGCACATGTACCACACAATGATCACCCGGGGAAACATGTACTATAGGATAATTACCCAGGGGAACATGTACCACAGATTAATCACCAAGGGGAACATGTACCACACAATGATCACCCAGGGGAACATGTACCTCAGAATAATCACTCTGAGGAACATGTACCACACGATGATCACCCAGGGGAACATGAACCACAGAATAATCACCCAGGGGAACATGTACCTCAGAATAATCACCCAGGGGAACATGTACCTCAGAATAATCACCCAGGGGAACATGTACCTCAAGATTATCACCCATGGGAACATGTACCATAAGATGATCACCCAGGGGAACATGTACCATAAGATGATCACCCAGGGGAACATGTACCTCAGAATAATCACTCTGAGGAACATGTACCACACGATGATCACCCAGGGGAACATGAACCACAGGATGATCACCCAGGGGAACATGTACCACAAGATGATCACCCAGGGGAACATGTACCACAGGATGATCACCCAGGGGAACATGTACCACAAGATGATCACCCAGGGGAACATGTACCACAGGATGATCACCCAGGGGAACATGTACCACAAGATGATCACCCAGGGGAACATGTACCACAGGATGATCACCCAGGGGAACATGTACCACAAGATGATCACCCAGGGGAACATGTACCACAGGATGATCACCCAGGGGAACATGTACCACAAGATGATCACCCAGGGGAACATGTACCACAGGATGATCACCCAGGGGAACATGTACCACAAGATGATCACCCAGGGGAACATGTACCACAGGATGATCACCCAGGGGAACATGTACCACAAGATGATCACCCAGGGGAACATGTACCACAGGATGATCACCCAGGGGAACATGTACCACAAGATGATCACCCAGGGAAACATATACCATAAGATGATCACCCAGGGGAACATGAACCACAGGATGATCACCCAGAATGTGACAAAAATTATACAGCTCACTCTCAATCCTAAAAAAATTGAGCTCACTTGTGTGATGATTATACAGTTCAACGGCTCCTGTGTGAGTGAGCTAAGCTATATACAATATGTACAGTATACAACAAGCACATGACTTCAATGAAGTTTACAATCCATATTTACAGTGAGAAAACACCAAAGTAGAACACTTACCTGTACTGTCCGTATTTTCAATGTCAGTAATAGAAGTTTTGTAGTAAATGATCACAGTAAAATACAGCACTTACACATATAACAGCACTTAACACATATAACAGCACTTAATACCTTATCCAATATGTAACACAAGCACACCCGTTTCTCTATCAGCTCCCTTTCTCAGCACTTAAGTTTGGGAACCACAGGGATTTATACAGGTGTTTTTTTCTGGACTTCTAGAAATAGGTCCCATATACCTAAACGTTACAAATCTCTGTGTTTAAACATGACTTATAAACTTCAATCAGAAGTCAAATACAACTTGTTGCCAAAATTGCATAGAGATTTATTACCTTACACGTCAAAAACTTACAAAGTAAAGGAAACATCTGGAAAATTTCTGACATCGAAGTTAAGTATATAAAACAAATAAATCAAAGAAAACAGTAAAATTCCATCTTTAAACAAATTTAGTATTCATTTCTATTTCATTTTCCTGTACAAAGTTGTTATTCCATTTAACTCATTCACCCCTGAAATTTCATAATGAACTATTGAAATATTTGAATTGGAAGAGTTCAAATGTGTCTTCAGGGGTGAATGAGTTAATACTCTAGAATAATTCTATGTCGCAGATTATGATCTGAAAAATTATGATTTAAATGTGACTGTAGAATTACCACATTTAACAGTTACTGTCAACTAACAATGTAATAGTTGATGGAAGCCCTTCTCTACAGAACTATCAAACTAGCTTAACTCATTCACCCCTGAAATTTTATGATGTACTATTCCAACTTTTGAATTGGAAGAGTTCAAATGTGTCTTCAGGGGTGAATGAGTTAATTAAGTCACACATGGTGTAAAAATATTTAAAAAAGGAAGTGAAACAATTGTACACTGATGAAAATGAAATCTGTGAGGATAAAATATGAATAGATGCTCTCCATCCCATAAGTACTGTTGTTTGTATACTACTGGGTGAGTTATAGAATCACTGCTTTTTATGACTTATATCCTGGTCACCAATACTGGTGCAATGATACTCAGAGGCCTATCCAGGAATACTGACGGGAAGGACCCACACTTACAGAAATTCTCATGGAGTCTGAATGACAGGAGTTCAACCCAAGAACCAGGACAAAGTCAGAAGTGAACTTTCAAGAGGTTTTTATGAGTTTAAGGATTAAAGAGACAAAAGAAAAGAATGTGCTCAGAGATGAACAAAAACCAATTTCTGGATACATTAGAAATTGATGTAAATGAAAACATAAATTGCTCTCCAACACACAAATTACTGATTAAATAATCCTGTAACAGGTATGATTTCATTGTTTTACCAGTTAAGCAGGCAGATATATAGCAGTAAATGTTATCAATTCTTGTAGTAGAACGATATTAAAGAAGCATTGTTGGAAAATGACTGTGAAATCAATTAGAAAGTTTAAACTCAGTCTTTGTAAATAACATAATCATGGACATTCCAACATTTAGGAAAAACCGATAATAAACTTATCTAGGTTAAAAATACAAAATCACAAAAACAACAATTTTAAAACTTTACCTAGCTGCTGACTAGACGTGTCATCCACAAGATTATATTTCCTGAACATTTCCACTGATAAGTAGTCACAGTTTAACACTTTAGAGTGGACGAAACAACAATCTCTACAGCATCATTTCTTCAAATCTAACAAAGGTCACTACAGCAACACCTCCGTATACTGCCTTCAAATTTAACAAAGGTAAGTACAGCAACACCTCCGTATATTGCCTTCAAATCTAACAAAGGTCACTACAGCAACCCCTCCGTATACTGCCTTCAAAGGTAAGAACAGCAACACCTCCGTATACTGCCTTCAAAGGTAAGTACAGCAACACCTCCGTATACTGCCTTCAAATCTAACGAAGGTAAGTACAGCAACACCTCCATATACTGCCTTCAAATCTAACAAAGTTAACTACAGCAACACCTCCGTATACTGCCTTCAAAGGTAAGTACAGCAACACCTCCGTATACTGCCTTCAAATCTAACAAAGGTAAGTACAGCAACACCTCCGTATACTGCTTTCAAATCTAACAAAGGTCATTACAGCAACACCTCCGTATACTGCCTCCATTTATCTATCATCAGATACCAGCGGTTGATTAGTTTACACTTACCATACCAGTAAGTGTAGCACAATTGACCATAGGTATCTTGTCATACCGTTTATCAAGAGATTCTTACAGAGGGAAACATACTTTTATTTATTGTTATATGGTATTGCTTTTTTAATAAAAACAATGCAATTTTTAAAACAATGTAAATGCTGCATTGTCACAATTATCCCTTGTACCTCACAACTGTAAATCTCAACATTTGTTTTAACATATTTCTGATACTGTCAAATCAAAGTGCTTTATGAGATATATCAAGATGTGTGTGAATTGTTCACCGTGGTAAGGCAGAAACAATAACAAATGTCTACTACAATCACAAGTAACAACTGATATCAGTAGGCCATTATTCAAAACATAATGCTGACGTTGGTTTGAGGTTAATGGCAACTCACTGGTTAAAAGAACGACTTGTATAAACAATCCTAATGCTAGATATCTCCCTACTGTGGATCAATCTAGATATCTCCCTACTGTGGATCAATCTAGATATCTCCCTACTGTGGATCAATCTAGATATCTCCCTACTGTGGATCAATCTAGATATCTCCCTACTGTGGATCAATCTAGATATCTCCCTACTGTGGATCAATCTAGATATCTCCCTACTGTGGATCAATCTAGATATCTCCCTACTGTGGATCAATCTAGATATCTCCCTACTGTGGATCAATCTAGATATCTCCCTACTGTGGATCAATATCAATAATGTGGATACAATAGGAATTATAGAGGCCAGCACTGTATCAAACAAAATCATCAAAAAATAACAAAACTGGTAAATTGTGGAGATTCAATATTTTGGTCAGAGTGGTGACTTAACTCATTCACCCTTGAAATTTCATAATGAACTATTCCAACCTTTGAATTGGAAGAGTTTAAATGTGTCTTCAGGGGTGAATGAGTTAACAAACCTACTGGGCGAATCTTGTTCAATATTGACCTACTCTGTTAGATTATACAAGAGTAGGGTGTATAGTTTGGCAGACATCACTTATAATATAGGGTTACGTGCCACCACCATGGTTAATGATCGTATTTTGTTAATCCCTCGTGTTGGGACGTTAACATCACAGTAATATAAGTTTATATACAGAGAGAACCAATAACAACTTCAGTATAAACAAATTATAATATTTCAGGAGACTTGGTCTTGGGTTTATCTGACTAAGTTTTCCACTGTGGAGAAATAATGACGACAAAGGAACACTAAAACACTAAAACCACAATATTCCATTATACTCCACTTTCACACAATATTCAATTTAATTAAAATCAAAAGTTATATAATTATATATATCAATTTAAAAAAAAACAGCCTTTAAATAATCAAAACGTTCCTATAATATGTATAAATACCTCTACGGTGTACATATGTTCAACTGTAAGTTGTTGTCCCAGGGGGAGAAAACATATCATTTAGGATACTGTAAAAGTACTTATTTAAGCAAACTCAAATTCTAGCGTATCATCAAGTTTTAGCAGATGAGTGCCTGGATAAATTGGCGTGCCTATACTATATGCAATAGAATACTATGTACAGAAACGTCAATCGTGCAAGATTTAAAGCGTGAAACGCGCTAAACTTGGAATACCGCTTAAATACACAGTTTTACTGTATTAAATGTAAATTCATTGCATACAGAGGTAAGAATCCTTAACCTGTCAGAATAGCTTCCCTTTATACATGCGTCATTAACTACCGTCATCACTGTGTGTGTTGACTCACAATCTCTATTATAGGTATATACAATTCGTCACAGTTTATTCCAAAAGTTCAACTAAATAAGGAAAAAAAATCTTTGATTTTTGATATTACTTAATTTTTTACCATAAAATTGCATATACAAATGTATCTACAAATGCAAGCATGCCCAATTTTACCATGTACACATGTCTTCATAGTTCACATATTTCTAGACAGACATAGTTATATACACATTTTTGGGACTCTTCACATCAGGTTTTCTCAGCACAATTTTTTACACATTATGTAAACATGTACCTAAACACATCTCAACACATGATGCACACAATTTTTCCAGCATCTGATTCTCCACACACTTTTTCATTCCACAAACAATTTTTTAATCTTCTCTTCAATAAGTCAACCAATTCATATTATAACACCTCACTTATTCCCGATATCAAAGTGTGGACTGTAGATCAGAAATGTGATGACCGCAAACAAGAAATCTGATGACCTCAGACTGTGGACCAGAAATCTGATGGCCCCAGACTGTGGACCAGAAATCTGATGGCCCAAGACTGTGGACCAGAAATCTAAAACAAAATAGGACCCCAGACCATGGTCCTGAAACTGATGACCTTTCAAATCATACCCTGTCACTCAGTCATTCACAGTACCACCACAATAACAAAGATCCTATCCTTTTTAGCAACATCATACAAGACAAGTAACTATAATGATTAACATGCAGAAAACAACTTTTACATAACATTTATACTCAAAAGACAACTTCAAAGTTTTCTGGAGTTGTCTGACAACATTGTCAGAGCTTTCTCTGACAATAAATTTCTCACCATCAGACTAATGAAACCTGAATGCAAATAAGGTGTACTGAAGCATGTTTTATAGATATAACAAACATTATTTATTTATTCAAAAACTTGATTCTTGGGTCATAATCTTTATTTTTGTGCAAGATGAATATATTTTCATTGGAAATCACAATCACAAATACATTGGGGATATCCGTATGTACATTTTCATTCAATGTACAGTGCTCCTGGCTTGTGACCTTTGACTTTTGACTTTAATAGGAAACAAACTTTGGCCTTTTAATATGACTTTCTCATTTGAATATTTGCAGGTAAAACATGCAGGACCTTTTCTGTTAACTGAAAATGATGACCGGACAGGCTACTGTTTTTCTACAGTAGTGTTTCCTCATTCTTAATTAGTAATCCTATACATAAGATCAGAAGCAATGCTGTAAGTAAGACAATTCAATTCAAAATTCAGCTTATACCCTGAGCCAAAGGCTGAATGCTACTAATTGACTAAACAACTAATTAAATAATTGCATTTAATGGCAATATCACACTGTTTGGAATAATTTCTAGCTGCCTTGCGAAAAAAAGGGAACATCTGATGTCGATAATAATATATTATACAAGAAAGCACCATATAGACGGTGTCATCTGGTTTCACAGAAAACCATATACATGTATATGTATATATAAGTGCTAACCATATAGCCAGCACTAAGCATATAGTCAGTGCTAACCATATAGTCAGTGTTATCAGGTTTTATAGAAAACCATATATATAGTGCTAACCACAGAGCCAGCACTGAACATATAGCCAGCACTAACCATATAGTCAGTGCTAACCATATAGTCAGTGCTAACCATGTAGTCAGTATTAACCATATAGTCAGTGCTAACCATGTAGTCAGTATTAACCATGTAGTCAGTGCTAACCATATAGTCAATGCTAACCATATAGTCAGTGCTAACCATGTAGCCAGCACTAACCATATATCCAGCACTAACCATATAGTCAGTGTTATCAGGTTTTATGGAAAACCATATATATAGTGCTAACCATAGAGCCAGCACTGAACATGTAGCCAGCACTAACCATAGAGCCAGCACTAAACATTTAGCCAGCACTAAACATATAGCCAGCACTAACCATAGAGCCAGCACTAAACATTTAGCCAGCACTAACCATATATCCAGTGCTAGTTAGTCAGTGTTATCTGGTTTTACAGAAAACCATATACATGTATATAAGTGCTAACCATATAGCCAACACTAGCCCTATATAGCCAGCATTATTACACCTCTACTTTATTTACTCTATATAAAAGTAATTGGTTAAATCGAATATATCCCCACTTTTGCCTTAGTTTGTTTTAGTCCTGTGTGTTAGTCTGGAAACTAAAACACACCTACACTCAGGTGTTTCCGCCGAGCCAATTAGGCAAGAGATGGGCGGAGCTTGTTACCGAACTCGGCAGTGACGCGCATTTGGCTCCATTGCCATTAAAAGGGTAGTTGGGACGTGAAGCTATACAGCTTATGGTTTACAAATATTTTCTAGTTAAAACTATCTTTCCAGTGTGTATCGGTATAATAAAACGGTTAAAGAATGGGGTTGAGGCATATAGCAAGTTTCTGGTGTCCCGAGACCAGGTCTATTTCCCGAGGCGAACCCATACTTTAACTGTATACTAAATATATAGCCAGCACTAACCATATAGTCAGAACTAACCATATAGCCAGCACTAAACATATAGCCAGCACTAAGCATATAGCCAGCACTAACAAATAGTCAGTGCTAGTTATATAGTCAGTGTCATATGGATTTACAGAAAACCATATACATGTATATAAGTGCTAACCATATAGTCAACACTAGCCATATAGAAAGCACTAACCATATAGTCAGCACTAAACATATAGTCAGCACTAGCCCTATAGCCAGCACTAAACATATAGCCAACACTAGCCCTATAGCCAGCACTTAACATATAGCCAGCACTAAGCATATAGCCAGCACTAACCGTATAGCCAGCACTAAACATATAGTCAGTGCTCTCTGAGATTATGATACCCATATATTAGGTTCTACAAAACAGCAGTTTTTCTCTTTGAAAATGTGAGAGAAAACAAATTAACAGTACATTGTACTCATATATTCACATTTGTCAAGATTAAATTACGTTCATTTTTTTCAACATTCACACATTCTTATGAGACTCTCTTGTATAAATCAGCACAGACAGTTATAAAGCATTTCACTGACCATGATTATTATTTAAATAAAATAGCCTGAAACATGCAAATGAGTTTCTCAGTTTGGGTCAAAATGCAAGCAATTGAGATAATTTAGCCTCCAGTTCTTTACAGATCTGACTTGATACTTAACATTTATAAAGGTGTTCAGTAAATATAGAGCTAAAATACAAACTTAACTCAGTCTTCAAATAGAACCTATATGCAAATTTTAAACAAGACTGAGATTCTGTGTCTCATATATAGATTTGTATACTTATTGATAACGCAATATTGGTGTGTCAAATCATTTTAAAATATGTGATGCCTAACTGTAAATGTGACCCATTGAGGTAAGCTGTTAATGTGTAGCTAATCATCAGGTTAGTAGTTCTTACAAAATGATTTATAAAGGTGTTGAAATCTGTTCACTGAGGTCAGACAAATAAAAAATAAAACTATCATAAAATATCAGTAAAACTGCAACAATGTACGAGATTCTTTGGCATAAAATATCCCCATAAAATAGTTTTCAAAAAATATTCAAATCAGTGGTTGATACAATCTCTAATAGGTACAGTTTCAAAAAGTGCCTGATAAAATCTCTATCAGGTACAGCTTAAATCACAGATTGATAAAATCTCTCTCAAGTATAGTTTAAATCAGAGAATGATAAATCTCTCTGAGGTACAGTTTAAATCAGAGACTTATGTAATGTTTACAACACTAAACATAAATGCAACAGAAGAGGAAAAATACATGGCCATATCAGGATTCAAACCCGGGACCTCCAAACTCGAAACGGACACTCTAACTAGTAGAGCAACCTGGTTGGCCGTGATTGACCTAGTCCAGTTCCGCTACATAAAAACGACCATAAGACACACCTATTTGAACTGATATCAGTGGTATGTAATCTATATTACCCATTATTCAATAGTTACTAAGTGGTGAAATACCCACTAAAACGACAATAAACATTAATTTGACTATTCAATGAACATGTTTGGAGCTGGATCAAAATTGACTAAAAACTATACTGTTGTAAAATGTGTTCACTTTACAAAATCAAACAAATAAATCTCATAATTTGCACTGATTTCAGTAAAAAAAATGTTCATTCCAGTCTACACATGGAATTTGACAAGTAAACAAACAGATAAACAAGAAATCACAACAAACAGAAAAACAACATGGCAGTGAAACACTTGATCAGGATCAATCTGTGACACTTGATTGTCAAACAAATCCAAAAACCTGCTTCAGTCAATGTGTATGGTCTAAGATGAATTATCTTTTTTTTTATATAATTTTTAGTATTAACAAGTTTTTTGAAGCATTCATTTGAGACAATTCTGACTTGCAGACATGTGTTCATGAGAACAGTGATAGCGTATCAAAAGTAACGTATGTCCACACTGAAAATCTACAGGCCGAGTAAGCATTAATGATAATCTAATGTCATGTCATACTAGCTAGTTGTATTGTTAAATTACATTTTGTCAGACCTGAATACACAATTAAAACAACCGGCATAGTGTTACTCATCCCAGTATATCCTATTAAGAATACAAAGCTTCAGGTTTAACTCATTGACTCACCCCTGAAATTTCATAATGAACTATTCCAACCTTTAAATTGGACAAGTTCAAATGTTTCTTCAGGGGTGAATTGGTTAATATTGTCAAGTTTTTGTTTCATGGTTATTTCTCATGACCTTGACAATATTTCAGATGGTATTAATTTCTAAATAATTTTATCCAGGTCTATGGTAAGTTGAAGTCAAAGTTTTGTTTCAAACAGTATGTAAATGAGTCTAATGCTGACTGCATTTCTGTTTATGTACTTTACAAACCCAATCACCCAAATAATCATTTTAAAACATGAGTCCAAACATTCTCTATTGCTACCATTCTCTCCCACACCTGAAGGACAGAGATAGCCCATGTTACAGACTGTGGGGGTGTAAGATTACCAATTCCCCGCAATGACATAGTCGTAATCGTGATGCAACAAGGAAAACAATAACATTTCACAATTAGACGACATCAAATATTGCTGGACAATAAGAAGGTAGCTATTTATAATGATTTGGGGGAGGGGGGCAGAAGATTCACTGCCTCAGGGTTTTAAATCAAAAAGTCTCTGATGACAGTATTCCTCATTCACACACATGGCAGGATGACAACCCCCACTCACCCCCAAACATAAGTAGGTAATTTTAGTAAAGGGTAGGGATCCTTATAAGCTATCACTTATCAGATTAAATGTGGTAATTATAGGCTAATTTGTATAACACTGTAAGGCTACAGCATTAATACTGATATCAAGTTCTCTGTTCTTTTTCTGTGGTTTTCTTGCACATGAGCTCTATATTGCTTCCAATTGAGGCCAATCAATGCTTCCATCGATCTAGTCCTGACTGAATCAACCTATGAAAACCCCAGAAGCCACCATAACTGAATCTTTCATTGAAGTTATATGATGTTGAAGGCAAATAGAGTACTGAAAAAGTCTTCAACCTTAATTCCCAAATTTACATTAAAAGATAATTCTTTTTTCCTTCGAGTATCAAACATTGCTCAGATTTTCATCTGCCCCTAATCCAAACGTCACATGTTCATCAATGACAGCACAACTAGTTCCTCGAAGGTGATCTTCATTGATTTCATCGGAATTATGGCCGGAGTCATTATCCTCAGCAGCTGTCCTCATGAATGCCACAGTGGAGGTAGTATGGCCACCAGTCTGTGCCTGAGCACCTTTAGCATAATCTTTGTATCGTAGAACGCCAAGCTTCCGTAAAATTGCCACACCAGGAATACACAGGACCGACACAAGGACAAGGAAGGCAGCCATCAGACCAGCAAACCAGGGGTAATGTCTGTCAACCATTCCCGCCTGAGAAACACAGATGTTTGAAGTCAGTGAGATATTTTTTACTGTGAGAGATGTTTGTAGTTATGGAGACATTTGTTGAAATGAGAGATGTTTGTAGTTAGGAGATATTTGTTTAACAAGTAGTTTTAACTAAATGTCCAATGATGAATCCTTATTCAAATAACATCCCCCCACACTGACTCCTTTGGGCCCAACCCTAAAGCCCTTGGGGGGGGGGGGGGGGGGG